ACTTAATAAGACTGTGACTCAAAACAATTTTTTTTTAAAGGGCCTGGGATATACCTCAGTGATAAGGTACTTGCCTAGCATGTGTTAGGCTCTTGATTCAATCCAAATATTGAAAGGAGAGAGAGAGAGACAGAGAGACGAGAGAGAGAGAGAGAGAGAGAGAGAGAGATATTAAGACAAAGAGTTGATCATTTCATGGTTTTTATTACCTGAGGTCTGACTGTCCCACAGAATACTGTGAGCACACACACTGTGCAGTAATGTATAAACATGTTAGTTTCACCAAGGCCTCTCATTATTAAATTTTATTCTTATCTGACTGAATAAGTGGGAAATACTGCATCCTTTTCAATTTAATATTTTTTGCTTATTAGTAAATCAAACCTTCTCCCATTAAAAAGCAGTTCCTTATATTTACCTTCCTCTTGTGTCAACCATCTGCTCTCCTCCTTTGATCCTTTGGTTCATGCTTTCAAAGAGCCTGGAAGTGTCTGAAACTTTGGCTGCGACAACAGATAATGCAGTTTATGGATCCTGACCTTGTTTTTTCTGGCAAGGGATTCTAACTGTAATTGTGGTTTAACTCAGTGAAGTTAAAAGATTTTAGCTTAGAGGTTTCAAATGGCCACCATTTCCTCCTGTCACCTTTAAACAAATGACTAGGTGGAAAAGATGGTGCAATGACACAGGATGCTCCGTGGGAGGAGCTAGTTTCAGCTTGCAGGTGGCTCAGCACGTAGCTCCTAGTTAGAAAAAAAGTGAATCAGGCCTGAATCACTCGCACTTTCTGACTCACTTCTCCTATCTCCATCTAGATGAAGTGAAGTCTTATGAACAAGAATGTTCTCCAGGGGGTACATGTTCAGTGGTTTGCTTTGCTTTTCCTTTTTACTTTTTTTAGACCTGGGTCTCACTATTTTGTTCAGACTGGCCTTGAACTAATGGGCTGAAGTGATCTCCTCTTCAGCTTCCAAAGTAGCTGGGACTATAGGCACATGGCTCTGATTCTGACTTGTTACCCAATACTTTGCTCTGATACTCTTCTGGGTACCTTGGAGCAGGACAGACGTGCTTTCTGTCATTATAACCGAGACAATATGTAAGTCCTTCTTTCTCCTTAAACCTTATGTCCAATGGACCTTTAGATTTGGCCTGTTCTACCTGCTTAAGAGCTCTTGGACCTATCTACTTCTTGCCATGCAGACAGCTGCTACTTTAGCAGGGGCCCTGGTTGCTCAGCCTACTGCATGGCCTCCTCTGAGGCTTCCCAAAGTGGCTCTTACTTCTTTGCAGTGCACTCCCTACTTGGCAGCCAGACTCAGGTTTTGTTTTGTTTTTTTGGTACCACGGATTAAACTCAGGGGCACTGAACCACTGAACCACATCCCCTGCCCTCTTTTTTATTTTATTTAGAGACAGGGTCTCACTGAGTTGCTTAATGCCTTGCTAAGTTACGCTGGCTTTGAACACTCTATCCTCCTGCCTCAGCCTCCTGAGCTGCTCAGACTCAGTATTTTTATAAATGACAATCAGAATGTGGCCTTCTTTCATTTAAAAATCTTCCCATTGTTTTTCAGTGTCCTCAGAATAAAGTTCAAAGTCTTTGATGTGGTACCAGCCACCCTGCATGGCTGCTTACTGACTTCTCCAGCCTTGACACTTTCCCTGGACTGCTTTGGTCATGTTGGAATATGCCTTAATGCTTCAAGACTCTACCCTCCTTCCTTGAGACCTTTGTTGATGTCACCCCCTCTGTCTAGAATATTTTTTTCTCCTCTTTTATTGGGTGACTTATAGTCATCTTTTAGATTTCAACCTTAATTACTTTTTTGGGAAAACTTGCCTCAGCCACCCAAGACAAGACTAGATCACAGTGCTGTTGTAGCTGCTCCAGCTGCCCATTTGCAGCCCTTTGCACACTTGTGATGACATAATTATATATTTGTTTAAGGGCTTATCTGCTCCAGTAGGACATCAGTGACCAGAGGGCAGGGATCTAAGTATTGTGCAGTTTTGTGCAGTACTAAATGCTCGGCATGCAGCCCCATGTTGGCACTACTCGGGCTTCAATAAACATGCGCTGAGCCATAGGTGGGTTAACCAATCAAGGCATTGTGTAGTTGACTGGTTTTGAAAGAGTTTATTCCAAGCTAATTTAAGGACATTTGAGACATGTATCTTAAAGCCATGTGACATTGCATTTTCAGCTGTATTACATAAATATTCCACAGGATCACATAATACAGGAAGCAATACGTCTCTTTACTGTAATAGCTGGGATGAAGTTGCTGGGAGCTCCTGCACTGGCTACAGACACATCATTGAAGGGAATCCCCTTGCTGGTCAATTCACTGGCTATTTGCAAAGGAGCAGCAAATGGGGGAAGTCGTCTAATGTTGAAGGTCCTCTCCTCTTCCTTATCCTTCCTTCCTTCCTTCCTTTAGAACCATGAGTGTTTATATAGGTGGGAATGGAGAGGAAGATCCAACAGACAGGATGAAACTAAAGACATTAGAGTAAGGATAAATGGGTACTAGCTTCTACACAGAACTGTATACAAAGAAACCCAGGCTGGAAACCAAATATAATTGTAAAGCAACTTTAAATCTCATTGTAGTGTCTTAAGAAAAATGCCAAAGGGGGAGTTACCTAAATTATTTACAAGAGAGCTTAAAATCCTATATTTTATTTCTCTTTCCCTTCTCCTGTCTGCTAAGGGGATTCTGTATTTACCTGTTAGGTTCTCAAATTGTTTCACAGCARCAGAATAAGGGGGAAAGGTATTTTATCTAATCAGCCAAAATATTCTAACTCTGCCCTAAAGCCTTTCTTTTCCCTCCCTCCAAACTTTCTCCAACTCTTCCCTATGCCAGAATTTTCTGCTTCTTCTTGCTCTTCTCTTAAGAGGCTTCATTTCTCACTCGGGTGCAGTGGTGCGCACCTATAATCCCAGCAACTCAGGAGACTGGGGCAGGAGACTCATAAGTTTGAAGTCAGCCTGGGCAATTTGGTAAGACCCTGTCTCAAAACAAAAAATTAACAAAAGGGCTCGGGATATAGCTCAGAGGTAGAGCGCCACTGGGTTCAATCCCTAGTACCACCCTAAACTGGCTTCCTTTCTCAACTGCTTTCAACTGCTCTTTCTATCCTAGGACAGTCAAATCACTCAAGGCTCAGTTGCTTTCAATCCTGCCTCTTGTTACTATTCTGATTCTGTCCAATGGTTAGAAGCCTCAAGGGATGACAGAATCCTCCTCTGCAATCAGGAAGAGGGAAGGAGACTGCATACTCATGCATTATTAATATTATTTTCCTGTCAAAGAGATCAACAATGTGGAAAGCACGGTGATACATTATCCACAGGGAATTATGAGAAAACAGAGCATCGATGAGCCCACCTGATCTTAAAGGTTGATAAGGAGCCAACCAGAAAGCAAGGAGATGAGAAGGGCATTTCTGGCACAAGGAACAGCAGCAGCTAAGGTCTCAAGATGGGAAATAGCATGTGAGGCTGGAGGGGAAGGGACTTAGGACACAAGGGGAAGGGAGGAGAGAGCTCTTCCTTGTAGGGCTATTAGGATGTAGATGAAGTAGATGAGAACTCTCTTGTTAGTAGGCCTTGGTCCTCTCATCAGGGTTATCTTGGGAGACACAGGAGGCTTCAGAAAAAATGAAGTATCGCTGCCTGGGGTTGCTAGATTCCAGTAAGACATGGCTAAGGATTCAGAGTTGCGAAAGGGTTCATTTAGAATGGGGGCATCAGCACCTGTGACTCGAGCAATTTGACTTACTGCTTCAGCAAAGCCTTATGGCTGAGGAGATGCACAGAATGGTCTGGTCAGAGGGTRAAGCACAGCTCCTGAGACTGGCAGGCACTCAGCTGAAGTTCATCAAGTGACATTCATAAAGTCCAACAGAGTAGACAGAGGAGCCTAGGCACAATGTGGAGCAGGACAGGGGCCGGATGACTGTCCAGWGTTCATTAATTTCCCAGAGGCACCATGCGACTTTTAGGGGATGAAGAAGAAAGACCTAAGACACAGACGATTGGACAGTTCAGTTCAACAAACAGTAAGGTGCTGTGGAAACTGCCAGGATAAGCTAGCTGCCTTGGGGAGCTTGAAGTCTTTCACAAATAAACAGTGCTGCGCAAAGCATGGTTTTGAAAAGGTGGCAGTGGAGACACAAAGGAGGAGACACAGCACTATATGGAGAGATTCAATGAGCTTAAGTCAGAGAAGATGTTTGTGAGGGCAGTGTTTGAGGATCCACGTGGACTTGAGCACTGGCTTATTAGGAAAGAAACCCGAGTGTATGAGGAGCCATTAGGCAAAAGAGCAGTGATGGGAAGTTCTCCCATGTGTTTAGGGATGGTGGTGAATCTGCCGCTGCTGGAGTAGTTTGGCCTGTGTCAAGTTAGGCCTGGAAACATGCCTGAGTGAGTTTATGAAGGGCTTTGAAGAACAGGTGGAGAGATTTAGACTTGTCTACTTGCAGAAATAAACTGAAGATTTTTTTTCTTTTCTTTTGGTACTGAGGATTGAACCCAGGGGCACTCTACCACTGAGCAACATTACTAGCCCTTTTTAATTTTTGAGACAGGCTCTAGCTAAATTGCACAGACTGAACTTGAACTTGTGATCCTCTTGCCTCAGCCTCCTGAGTGGCTGGCATTATAAGTGTGTGCCAYCATGTCCTGCTAAACTGCAGATTTTTGTGTGGAGGGAAGCGACATGATTCTATGGGTGTTTTAGGCAAAAGATTAACTGTTTAAAAATATGGTTAGGTAGTAAAATGGCAGTTTCTTGTCCAACTGAGGAAGAGGAATTTTAATTACATGATTAGGGAGAAGTAAGTATTTCCCAGGGCCAGCTATGGTCCTTTTCTGATTTTATAAACAGTTTTTTTTTTTTTTTTTTTTTTTTTTAAGACAAGTCTTCCAGACTTAGATCTCTGGGAAAACAAGCAAACACTGACACAGGCTTACTTTGTTTTCCCAAGGGAAGTCTCCCAGGCGATTTCCCTAATTATCTAAAAAATTTTAAAACCTGTTTTTTCCCTTTAGAATTTAGTAGAGGTTAAGGGGAAACAGCAGTGTTGCCTTAGATTCTCCAGTGGTTTGGAYGCAATATTAGTCCTGAGGGACTCACTCCAAGGTTTCTGTGCAAGGCGTCTCAAGACATTTCTTCTGGCAACCAGGACATTGCTAGAACAGAGTAGGAGAAATGGGACACTCTGCAAAGGGTTTACTAAAAAAGAAAAAAAAGGAGGGGGATATAGTCTGCCTATCTCTTTAGGACAATTCCGTGGGAAAACTAATCCGGGCGAAAGCCGKGCTCCTGCCTCTGGTCAGGGCCTCTGGAGCAGAAGGAGTCCAGGCATCACAACCGAGTAAGGACTGGGGCTCCGAGCTCTCTCCTGGCTCTCACCTCGCACATAATTCCGCCAGGCTCCCAGAGGGGCGGTTGAAGCTACAGCCCAGCGCGCCGCGTAACCAATAGGAAGCCAGATATCCCCGTCTGTCTCCAATCTCGTCCAATCGGCTTCCGGAACTTTAGCTTGTTGGCCAGCGCCTCCGTTGTCCGGGAAGGTAGGCAAGCCCCCTAGAGTTGCCAGTAACGGACATGGCTGCGACCCCTGGAGGAGGGGACGTGAAGTGAGGAGGGGGCTGGGAGGGGAGAGGGGACTGGACGCGGGCGAGGAAGACGGGCCCTCGGGCCCCGGTAAGTACGAGAAGGCTTGCGGCCCGAAAGTGGGGAGCAAGGGGGCGTGGGGCTCGGCCTTCCGCATCCTCTGGATTCTTGGCCAAAGCGACAGGAGTCTGGGGTCTGCACCGGAGAATGGCCTCGGGGGAGCCCTTCTTAGGGGGAGCCGAAGGGCTGGCTCTCGCCTCCAGCTCTTGGCCATTTCCTTTCGCTGTGTCCTCAGACTCTTGCTGTCGGCCCTGGCTTGGCCCCTGGGGGTCCCTTGTCAGAAATAAAGCTTCTCTCCAACAAAGAATCCCTGCCCCGGGATTGTCGTGTCTGGTCCCGGGCCAGAGGGCTCCCAGCGCTGATGGCACGAGTATTACAGGCTTCTGGGCGTCCCCATCCTCGGCCCAAATGAAGACCGTTGTGTCCCCGCGCGTGCTCCGCTGCTGCCCGGGGCCCTCGTGCTGACCCCGTCCTGTGCCCAGGCGGATGGAGGTGCGAGGAGCTTCTCGCAGCCCAGAGCTGAGACGGTGCAGTTTGGAACGTGCTCTCCGCTCCCCTTCCTTTCCTTTCCACAACTGTTTTAACACGCCTTAGAAACAACTGTAGGATCACAGTACTTGCCATCCTATAAAGGGACTTCGGTGCTTTGGCCTGGTCCCTCTGTCGCACACCCTAAAGCCCGGTTCTCACAGTCCCTTGCATGCTGCGGTGTGAGCCCGCGCCGCCGGCGCCGGGTGCCAGATGCTAGCAAAGCCCTGCTCTCCTTTCATTGGCGTGTAACCATGGGCAGCACTTTGGCTTGCGGGTCGATTTGGTCACGTGCTGCTCCATCCCACCCTCTCTTCCGAGTTTTTCTGTGGCTCTTTTGGAGAAAGAGGAGGGAGCGCTATACTGAGTTGTTTTCCTTGGGGTATGTGGTTTTATGCACTGGAAGGAATGATATTTTCTCACGCCCTAAGACGTTCAGCCTAGTGACATAGTTCAGTTACTCGGTGGATGCTCTCGAAGAGATGGGAGGGGGGAAGGGAGAAGCTTAATGTTTTTTTACGCGTTACAGATGTAGAGACAACTGGAGAGGCAAAAGGACATAACCAAGTTCTCCTTGAGCCAGACTAGAATTCAGAAATCTAGATTTTTACGTTTTTCACTCACTAGAGCCGGTTGTTTCCTTGGCTGCATCCGCAGTCCTTTTTATTTTTTAGTTTGAGTTAGACTCACTAAATTACCTAAGTTGGCTTTGAACTTGCGTTCTTCCTGTCTTAAACTCCCCAGTAGCTAGKATGACAAGGTCTGCACCACGCCCTGCTGATTTTTCTTTTTCTTTTTCCTTGAGGGGGGGTGTTACTGGGGATTGAACTCAGGGGCACTCAACCACTGAGCCACATTCCCATCACTAGTTTGCATTTTATTTAGAGACAGAGTCTCACTGAGTTGCTTAGTGCCTCGCATTTGTTGAGGCTGGCTTTGAACTCCAGATCCTCCTACATCAGCCTCCGGAGCTGCTGGGATTACATGTGTGTGCCACTGCGCCTGGCATGATTTATTTTATTTTTATTTTTATTTATTATTTTTTTTAGTTGTCAATGGACTTTTATTTTATTTATTTATATGTGGTGCTGAGAATCAAACCCAGTGCCTCACACATGCTATGCAAGCGCTCTGCCACTGAGCCACAACCCCAGCTCCCAGCATGATTTCTTATATAGATATTTATGTCTTTCTTTTTTTTTCTTTTTTTTTTAATTTTAAAAGAAGGCCAGCCAATGTTTCTTAAGATATTTATGTCTTATATTGATATTTATTGTGTTCTCTTTCAGTATTTAGGGGCATAAATTATTATAGTGGTTCTCAGTCAAAAAAAAAAAAAAAAAAAAAAGGTGAGCCTTTTGTTTTTTTGGGAACCATGGCAGCATCATTAGAAATGTCATGAATGGGGCTGGGGATATAGCTTAGTTGGAAGAGTGCTTCCCTCGAATGCACAAGGCCCTGGGTTCAATTCCCAGCACCACAAAAAGAAAAAAAACAAATGTCATTAATAGGCCGGGCGCTAAGCAACTCAGTAAGACCCTGTCTCTAAATAAAATACAAAATAGGGCTGGGGATATGGCGCAGTGGTTGAGTGCTCCTGGGTTCAATCCCTGCTCCCCCCAACCCCCGAAAAAAAAGAAATGTCATTAATGGGAATGTGTTGGATACAAGAACAACATAGAGGCAGAAAAGCATTGAGAACACTGAGGGAAGAAATAACCACTCTAGTGTCTCGGCATGGTGCTCTTGATAAAAGAAAAACTGATCTGGGATTGAGGATGTGGCTCAAGCRGTAGCGCGCTCGCCTGGCATGCGTGCGGCCCGGGTTCGATCCTCAGCACCACATACAAACAAAGATGTTGGGTCCACCGAAAACTAAAAAATAAATATTAAAATTCTTTCTCTCCTCTCTCTCTTTAAAAAAAAAAAAGTATTTAAAAAAAAAAAGAAAAACTGATCTTAGTATCCTAAAAGAGGTAGTTTACAGTTTTATTAGAATGTAGATAGTCGTTAACCCTGCAGCAGGAGATAGCTTTTCAGATGTAATCCACAGTTACACTGAGGTCTAATTTCAGCTACCCTGTTAGCTCTTCCTTGCTCACTGGTTCTCTCCACAGGAGTTACAAAAGGGGAACCTGGCAAATCTTGCAGAGTAGTGCACTGACCAGGGAACTGAAGTACAAACCATCCCCTGGATAACCATAAAATGGAGGGTTAACTGTCCTTGATTACCCATACCACACCCCTCTTTTATGTGTGTTGACCTAGCTTCAGAAAATTAGACTAGGAGAGGCAGAGCTGGGCAGAGAAATGGAAGAAAACAGCACTTCACATTTCTATTTTGAGAAGTTGCTAGGGAGTTCCAGCTCCTAGTGTGGAGAATCAGCCCTTTGGAAATCTTAACTCCTGTAGAACTAATGAGCAACCAAGGGCACAATTCTTTGGTTCCTCTCTGCTTTTTCCCTAAATTGGGCTTAGGAAACAATTTCTATAGGGAAAGGGAGGAAAAGCAATGTAAATACTGCCTACACCCAAGACTTTATTTAACCCAACCTGGTGAGTCAAGTATGTGCCCTTCCCAAAGCAGTGTAGGCTGGAAAGGCAGCCTAGGTCCATTCCTGGTGTTCAAGTGAGAAGGCTACGGGTCAGGCTTGGCAGCCACTGGTAAATCTAGGTCAGTGTTTTTATCTTGTTATTGTGTGTTATTTTCTCCATGGTGTCTTTCCTTGATGAAAACTTACTCTTGACTCCTTTAAAAATATTGTTTAAACTCCAATTTCCGAGCAGACCAGGGTTTGTTTACAGCAGCTCAGGTGAAAGGTTAGGCCATGACTGAAACAGGGATTTTTTTTTTCTGAAAAGACCCGCCAGTGAGAATGTGTGGTTTGGTGATCAGGGGTTTGTATAATAATCAGCTTTGCCTAGGGCTGCTGAGACAGTAGTAAACATTATGGTCACATGGTATGGCTAGTAGGATAAGGGCCAGATTTCCACCCAAGCCCTTGCTTGCTTAAGGCTGGGGTGAGGGGTGCCCAAGGGAAGGAGAGGCCTGAAAGGCTGAGAGTTGCATTTGGGAAACTAGAAATTTTGGCGTAATTATATGATCGTAGTTTTCATAATTTTAGGATYCTTTTGAAATAGTCGTTCTTGATACTAGCTTTCCTTCCTGGGGAAGTGAACAGAAAACTACTGGGAAACACTGAAAAGAGAGAGACTCAAGGTAGAGTCCAAGAGTGAAAGCCTCCCTCAAGCAGACAGGGAACCCCAGAGGCCACATTGCCAGATAACAGAAGGCAGAGCCTCTCGCAAAGTCAGAATCAGAAGTTGCTGATTTTTTTTTTTTTTTTTTTTTTTTTGTGGTGGTGGTGGTAAAATATACAAGGGCATAAAGTTGAATAGTTCTGTAGCATTAAGTACATTTGCACTGTTATGTGACCATCACCACCATCCATTTCCAGAACTTTCTCATTTTCCCTAACTGAAACTATGTCCCTTTTAAACACCATGTCCCTGTTCACTCCTGCTGTACCCCCTGATTACCACAATTCTGCTTTCTGTCTCAGTGACTTTGAATATTGTAGAAACCTAGAATGGGTGGGGCAATCACCCAGTTTTTGTGCTTTTGTGCCTGACTTATTTCACTTACTATGAAGTCTTCGAGGTTCATCCATGTTGTAGCAAGCATCAGAATGGACTTCCTCTTTAGGACCAAATTATATTCCATTGTAGGGATGTAATGAATTTTGTTTATCCATTCTTCTGTCGGTGGATACTTGGGTTGCTTCTGACTTTCTGCTGTCGTGAATGATGAACATGGATGAATAAATATCTGYTTCAATCCCAATTTTTACTTCTTTTGAGTAGATACCAGGAAGTGAGAAATTACTGATCTTTTAAAAGATATATTTGAGCCAGGTGTGTGGTACTTGCCTATAATCCCAACTACTTAGGAGGCTGAAGCAGGAGGATTGTAAATTCAAAACCAGCCTGAGCAATTTAGTGAGACCCTGTCTCCAAATAAAATATCAAAAGGGCGGGGGGATGTAGCTCAATGGTAAAGTGTCCTGGGTTAGATCCCTGGTACCTGTCCCCGCAAAAGGATACATTTTATACATTCACATGATTTGAAAATCAAAAGGCAAAAAAAAATTAAAGATATGAAAATATAAACAGTAAAAATTTTCCTCCAATTTTATCCCTAATCATTCAGTTCCCATTTACCCAGTTTTATGCTTTTGTTGAATCCAGGAAATCTAACCTTAGGTCATAAAGATTTTATCTTCTCTCTTCTAGAAGTTTTATAGTTTACATTTAGGCCTGTGATTCATTTTGAGTTAATTTTTGTACATGGTAAAAGTCATATTTCCAAGTTATTTTATTTTTTATTTTTTGCATCTGAATATTAAGTTGTTCCAGCACCATTTGTTGAAAAGACTTTCCTTTCTCCACTGATTTGTCTTGGCACTTTTCTCAGAAATCGATTGTCTATATATGTCTGGATCTATTTCTGGACTCTCAAATGCCAATCCCAAACCACACTGCCTTGATTACCATGGCTTTATAGCCTTGAAGCAGGTGGTGAAAGTCTCTTTGTTCTCATAAGGAAATCGAATTTGAATGTCTCATTATGAGTGGACTTGATCTTCTTTTTATATAAGAAGACACTGGATTTCTTGCTTCCATGGTCTCAAGATTAGAAGAGATCATAAAAAGTCRTCTCTCTCCTAATATCAATCTGTTGTATTAATTATCTCCATAATTTCTCAGCCTCTGCTTGCTTCCCTTTAGTGATAGGGAACTTCATACCTCATGGGGCAGTCCATTCCACTTTTTAATACAGTTCCAATTATGTAAAAAGCCATATTGCTCATGTTGAGCAATTTGCCTCTTACAGTCTCCTCCCTGTCGTCCTCCTCCGTGTTTCAGGTCCTCCCAGAGCAAGCCTGGCTCTTCTTCCCATTTGCAGCCATCATACCTGTCTAGCCCTCCCCACTGTGTACCTTTGATGTGGGGAGCCTCTTTAGTTTTATTCCACCATTTCTCATGTCACAGTTTGGGTTTAATTTTTTTTTTTATTTTTAATTTATGTTTTTGGTATTGGGTATTGAACTCAGGGATATTCTACCATTGAGCTACATCCCTAGCCCTTTTTTATCTATTTATTTTGATATTGGGATTGAACCCAGGTGTGCTTAACCACATCCCCAGCCCTTTTTATTTTGAGACAGGGTCTCACTAAGTTGATTAGGGCCTCACTAAGTCGTTGAGACTGGCCGCCAACCTGCAATCCTGCTGTGTCAGCTTCCAGAGTTGCATGTCAGAGTTTCTGCAACCTGGTGATGGCTCTCTGGAAGCCTTCCAGTTTTGTAAGTGTTCTTTAAATGTGTGAGGCCCAACTGAACAAAATATTCCAGTTATGCTCTACCTACAGAAACCAGACTCACCCAACTCTTTCTAGGGACATGGTAAGTCTGTTACTGTAGCCTGAGTGCAAATGAACTCTGGGTGACCATGCTCACTTATATTGAAATCGTGTTAACATCAATGGTAGTTTTACACAGTAGGTTTTGAACTTGGGCTTAGGGCTTAATATTTTTTCCCAGTAAAATTGAACCTGTTGGGTTTGGCTCATCATTTCAGACCATTCGGATCTCCTTGGATCTTGACTTTTATCCCCTTTCCAGGTTTGTGCTATCCAAGAATTTGATTAGCATACCATCTGTTTTCTCACCCAAGTCATTGATAAAAATATTGACTAGAATGCCACCAAGGATAGAACTGGGAGGCTTGCTCTTAAAAACCTCCCTCCAGCTTAGCATTGATGTATCAGTTCGTTCCCTTGGGGCATGGCTAATCAGTTGAGTACAAATCCACCAAGTTGTGTTCTGGTGGGTTGGGTGAGGCTAGAGTGCAAACTCAGCTACTGCAGATTGTGTTAGAAGGGATAGGAGGGATCAGAAGGACAGCTTACTCCCACCTCACCTTCTGCCAGAGCCCTGGATCCCACCTCCCACCTGTCTTTTCTTTTCTTGTTTTTAGTTGTAGATGGACACAGTACCTTTATTTTATTTATTTATTTTTATGTGGTGCTGAGGATCAAACCCAGTGCTTCACATGTGCTAGGCATGGCTTTTCCACTAAGCCACAACCCCCCCCMCACACACACACCTGTCTTTTTTGTTTTCACTTTGGTTCTGAGCTTGGCAGCAGGCAGTATCCATGCTCTGTTTTCATGGCTCCCATTGCCACCTCTGCCTAGCTGCTCTCCTTAGCCAAACCAGAATTATCCTAATTTTATTCTAACACTCTGCCCGTTGTTTCTTTCCCTTCTCCCTCTGATCTACTCTCTAGCCTCTTTAAACACTGGGACCTCCTCAGAGACCTTGAGGGCCTCTTTGGCCTGGCCTTCTTGCTCTCTCCATGTTGGCCTCTGATTCCTGACCTGGGTGGTCTGACATTTCTTCCCTCATCCTCCTCAGGCCTTCTGCTCTCATCAGACAGATCCACTCACCATCTTTCCAAAAGGCTCTGTATCTTTCTTCCTTAGTACCTCTGTCGGGACTTGTAGTTCTTGCTTAGAGTTCACCCTCCTAAGCTCAACGCCACCTGGCTTTGCCTGGGAGGACTTCCCTGGCTCCCTGGCCCGCCTCTGAGTGTACCCTGGTTGTTTGTAATTCCTGTTTAGTATTTCTATGCCAACTTGAGTTTTAGTTCCCTTTTTATAACAGCCCCAAATAGGCCATATTTGAAATCTCTCTGAAGACTGTCTTATATTTTGAAAACAGAACCATTCCTTACACCACTTTTTTTAAAAATATTTTTTTAGATGTTGATGGACCTTTATTTTATTCATTTATTTATATACAGTGCTGAGAATCGAACCCAGTGCCTCATACATGCTAGGCAGGTGCTCTACCACTGAGCCMCAACCTGAACCCCCTTTTCTTTTTTTTTWAAAAAATGAATTAAAAAAAATTTGTACTTGTAGATGGACAGAATGACTTTATTTTATTTATTTTTATGTGGTGCTAAGGATTGAACCCAGTCCCTCACACATTTCAGACAAGCGCTCTGCCACTTAGCTACACAGCCCTAGCCCTCTTTACACTTCTTTATGCATACACAGTTGCCTCATGTTAGTTTTCTGTTGCTCCAACGAGGTCCTGAGACAATCAGTTTAAAAGGAAGAAAGGTCTCTTTTTGCTCACAGTTTCAGTCCACAGTCTCTTGGCCACTTAGCTCTGGTGGCACAGTACATCATGGCACAAGCATGTGGTGGAGGAGGCTGCTCACTTCATGGCAAGCTGGGAAGCAAAGAGAGAGGCCGGAGCCAAGGTTGCAACATCCCCTTCAAGGGTGTGCCTCAGTGACCAACTTCTTCCCACTAGGTCCCACCTCCTAAAGGTTCTGCCACCTTTTAATAGCGCCACAGGCTGGTGACCAAGCCTTTAACACGTTGGACCATTGAGGGTCACTGCAAGTCCAAACTGTAGCCCCTAGTACACTGTTACCCACAGTAGGTGCCTGATCATATTTACTTCCTTTGTTGTCTCCTTTCCCTCTTAGGTCCCCCAAATCTTGTGTGTGCTAGGCATTTTAGAAGTTGGTTGAGCTTTTTAGTTCCATCCCAGGTTCTTCCTTACCTTTTAAAAATCATCTCTGTGCAGCAAAATTCACATACAGTAAAAGTAAAGGACCTATTTAAGCGTATTGTTCAAAAAATTTTGACAAATAAACAGAGATATAAATGCCATCCACAACCCAGAGACTGAACAAAAGGTCCTTGCTCACTCTGCAGTCACTCCCTGCTCCCAGTGGCCCCTGATCTGTCTGTAGATCAGTTTTGTCTGTTCTGAAGTTCATGTATGTGGGACTGTATGCTAGGGACTCTTGGGTCTGACTCCTTTCACTCAGCAATTTTTAAAAAATAGTTTTTAGTTGTTAATGAACCTTTATTTTATTTATTTATATGTGTGCTAAGAATTGAACCCAGTGCCCCACACATGCTAGGCAAGTGCTCTGCCACTGAGCCCCAGCCCCAGCCCCTCAGCAAATCTTTTTGAGATTTATTTATACAATTTTATATATTAGATTATACTTTGTTTTGTTGCATTGCAAGGTAGAGTTCCACTGTATGGATAGGCCACAGTTTATTCATCCATTTCCCTGTGAATGGACATTTGGCCTGATTGCAGTTTGGGGCTGTTTCATATAAAACTGCTAACAACATTTGCATATAATTCAAGGACTAATGTTTTCATTGCTGTGTCACATAGTAACTGTGTGTGTAACACTTAACTTTAAGAAACTGCCAAACTGTTTTCCAAAATGGTTGTACTGTCTGGCCCGGTGACTCACGCCTGTAATTCTAATAACTCTGGAGGGTGAGACAGGAGGGTCTCAAGTTTGAGGCCAGCCTCAGCAAATTAGTGAGACCCTATCTCAAAATAAAAGGTAAGAAGGGCTGGGGATGTGGTACAGTGGTAAAACATCCCTGAGTTCAATCGCCAGTACCAATTTTTTTGTACCTACTATCTACCAATATTATAGTAGATCCCCTGCATATACTACTGTACAGTTTTCAGGCCATCTTAGTGAAATACATATTGTTATTTTCATTCTGAGAATAAGCACACAGAAGCTCAAGATCATCTGTCATTTGATACATGTCAGAGCTGGGATTTGAACTCTGGGATATTTGGCTTTCGAGCTTGTGCTGTTTTTCACAGTGGCCTCTAATGGATCTGGCCGTTTAAGGGAACTGCTCCTGGTTTCACGTCCAGACATGAAGAACAGTCTCTTCCAGAACCTCATGTATGGAATGCTGGGAAAACAGACTGTTAGGAAAAGGTCATGTTCCTGGCTGCCCCCTGTACTGCCGTGGTCCCAGCTGGCTGCAGAGTTATTTCTCTCCTGCAGTGTTGGTGGAAGAAGTTAACAGGCACAGTCCCCATCTAGCTCCTGGTGTCTTTCCCTGTGGGACCACTACCTCATCCAGCCCTGCTGGGATGGAGTGTCATGGGGACCTCAGCCATCACTGTAAACAGGGCCTGGGCAGCCTGAATCAGAGTGTGGCCTTGGGGAGGAGTGGTTTGGCCTCTCAGGATCTCATTTCAGTTGGCTGCCAGGGACCAAATGTCACTGCCTCGCAGAGCAGCTTCCAGCGTCACTCTCTGTCTCTGACCCCATAGGCTGGCTCAGCTTTGAAAGTCCTGGCTGAAAGGAAGGGGTAGGGGGAAACTTGGCAGAGCGGCCAATGACATCAGCACTGATTCCATCAGCACTGATGCTGCCTGAGGAATTGGGTGGGATTTTGGAGTGGAGTTGGTGGCTGCAGAAATGGGGCCTCCTGGCTGGCCCTCTGGACACGGCTTCCTTGTTTCCCCGCAGCTCTTTTATGGGTCAGTTCTCCTGTGCTTCTGATTGGCTCCTCTTACCGAAGTTATCTGCAGGCCCCAGAAATAACTGCCCTCGTCAGCAGGTTAGTGCTTTTGCCAAGAGGAGTCACCTGGCACCAAACTAGATCTCTCAGTATCACTCTTCACCCAAACATGCCCTGATTTGAGGCCTTGAAAGTCATGGTGGCATTCCTGTGATCCCAGCAACTTAGGAGGCTGAGGYAGGAGAACTTCAGGTTCAAGGTCAGCCTCAACAATTTAGCAAGACCTGTCTTAAGATAAAAAATGAAACAGGATGGAGATGTGGCTCAGTGGAAGGGTGAGGGTCAAGCTTTGTGTGGGGCAGGTACTGGGTGACTGGAGAAGTTAGGCTAATCTTTTTTCTTTTCTTTTCTCTTTTCTTGTTCTTTTTTTTTTTTCTTTTTTGGTGTGGTGCTGGGCATTAAACTCAAGGCCTCCTGAATCAGGCTAAGCTAAGTGCTCTTCACTGAGCCACACCCTTAACCCCCGGGGCCATTCTTCATTTTCCAGATAACTAGTCAACTTTTGCCAGACTGGTTGTCAGATTGGCCTGCCTGTCCTTTTGGACCTCTGCTGGGGTGCCTGTCAGACACTGCCATCACCTGCATGAGAGGCTCAGGGGCCTGTGGGCATGTGTGTGCTGGCAAGTGTGGCCCACATTTCCCAGCAAGTAGAAAGAGAAGGCGCCTGCTCCTGGTGTCCACTGCTGTTCCCTCCTTGTTCGAGTTGTTTCTAGATTCCAGATGACCCCAATGCTCACCTTAACCCTAATTTTGAAAAATGCTTATAAGCCAAAGCTTTTCCTGTCTGCTGGAAGTCTGATTAACAGAGAATGCACAGAACCAAACACAGTGTGCCTCTGAAAAAGAGGATTGGAGTTCTCTCTGGAGTCCTTCTCTCCTGGCTTCAGAGAGTGGAAATTGCCCCAAACTAACTGCTCAGAGCAGTCCTATAGTAGGATGGGGCTGATGGGGCCCTGGCACAGTGGGACCAGTACTTTCCTCTGTACCACCCTGTGGCTTTGATGAGACTGTTGTGTAACACAGTAGTCATCTAGTCCTGCAACCTGATTTCTTTCTTCTTTTTCCCCAGATGCTGTGACTGGGGCAGACGCGCTGGGGTTTGTCCATGCTGGGGAGGAGTCTTCCTTCCGGGTGTGACTGCCTTCATCTGGGCATGCCTGCAGTACCCTGGGCCCATGGACCTGAAGGAGAAGCATTTGGTGGGCCCTGCTCTGTTGCCATGTGGCTGTTGTTGGGGTGCCTCTGTTGGCCTCCCCACCTGGGTTTGCTGGGAGGTTCTCATCTGGGGGCTTTACACTGAAAGTAAGAGAAGGAGTGTGGCTCTGAGGCTTGAGAGACATGACCATGACCCCTCTGAGATGCTTGGCTGTGAAGGATGAAGAATGAAGGGCAGACCAGTTAACACAACTGTGCAGAGGTGGGGCTTCTGATTTGGGTTGGCCCCCGGCCAGTTTTCCACTTCTTGCCCAGAGGTATATAATTTAGTTTGTTTGCTCTTTGCTAGGGCTATGCCCCAACCTGCTGAGCCATGTTGAGGACTGTTGGGCACCCTGTCTGTGGTTAGGGACCAGCTCCCCATCAGACTCCAAACAAAGCTGCTTAATCAGCTGGGGTGGGGTGGATGAGAGGGGGGGAAAGGGAGCAGCCAGGCAGTCCAGGCTGTCTGTAAGATCAGCCCAGCCTCCAGATGTACCATTTGGAGGTAGATTTGTCAATCAGAATATTCCTCTCCCAGGGTTGGGGATGTAGCTCAATGGTAGAGTACTTGCCTAGCATGTCTGTAGCCCTGGGTACAACTCTTAGTACCTCAAGGTGAAAAATGAACACACAGGGCTGGGGATGTGGCTCAAGCGGTGGCGCACTGGCCTGGCATGCGCAGGGSGCTGGGTTCGATCCTCAGCACCACATACAAATAAAATGAAGATGTTGTGTTCCCTGAAAACTAAAAAATAAATATTTAGAGTTTCTCTCTCTCTCTCTTAAAAAAAATAAATAAACAAACAGAATATTCTTTTCCTATGACAAAGACTGCCCCAGAGGAAGTCCAAGTCTCCTGCCTGGCTCCTGCACACCCTCCTAATGTAGGCGTCCTCTCTGTCTCTGCTCACTGCCCTCCAACTACATGGTGCTGATAACTGGTACCTACTAAGATCTTTAGTGTGTACGAGGCACCCACATTCTGCCTGCCCGTTGGTCCAGTGTCATTCCTTGCCTTGACTGTACCTCTAGTTATGCTGAATGCTTCATAGTTTGGACATATACACCATATGGAGGCTGTTCCTTCTGAAGTGACCTTGTCCCTTTTCCTAGCAAAATCCTTCTACTCTTTCTTTCTTTCTTTCTTTCTATATATATATATATATATATATATATATATATATATATATTTATTTATTTTTTAGTTGGACACAATATCATCTTTATTTTATTTCCTTATTTTGATGTGGTGCTGAGGACAGAACCCAGGGATTCGCATGTGCTAGGTGAGCTACCACTGAGCCACAACTTCAGCCCCTCCTACCCTTTCTTCAAGACCCAGTGGAAATCTCATCTTCTCCACATAAGTCCCCTTCCCTGCTTTCCGTATTCATGGTACCTTTCCCATTGTGCTCGTTATACTCTATGGGTGTAGTCTCTTTCTTCTGCCATATCTCACTTTCCCTGGGTCCCAGCACAGAGCCTGGCATGTAGCAAGTCAAGGGCTTAGTAAATATTTGTTAACTTAAGAGCTTGGGGTGGTCTGGAGATGGAGCTGTGGGTTCACTTCTTGGGTTTCTGGCAGCACCTGGCTGACTGCTTCCTCTTCAGCTCCAGGCTTCCTGTGCCTTTGGACCAATTGTGCAATAGGCTTGTGGACTTGAAAAAGGAGCCAAAGGTTCAGCTTGTTTGCAGCCACCTCTGGCTGCCYTGCAGGTGTCTGTACCAGCAGTGATCAGCACTGAGGGATGGCTACACTGGCCTGCTTCCTATCTTGGGTGCAGTATTGCTGTGGGTGCTGTGCACTGCTCAGTTCCAGGGAGTGCCCCTGGAGACTGATGTCATGTAATATGGCAACCCTCCTGGTGGGGCTCAACGCCCCCAGAGGACAGCATTGTCCTCTGATTCCTGCTTATTGTTGAAACACCAGTGCCTAGTGTACGGGGGAAACAAATTGAGGGCCTAGCTTTGCCCTCAAGCCTGAGGGAGAAGCCTTGAGAGCCCCAGATGGGCAACTGCAGGCGCTATTTTTCCTGGAGGATTTCCGTGTCATCTTTCTCTGTAGATGAGCCAAGAATAGAAACCCTCAAGACCAGCAGCAGCAGCCTTGCCTATGGGATGCTGACATTGGATTGGTAAAGCCTTAGGTAAAGCTGGGGAGGTGGCCTCTGGCTTGCAGAGACTATTGTTTAATTGAGTAATCAATAGCACAAGTGATTCAGTCAGGACCTAGCAGGGTTTCTACCTACACAAGTACCTTTCAAGTTGTATGCTGGAGTTTAAAGATGATCCGTAGCCCAAGACAGTCACAAAGCATCTTGGATAGGTAGTACTGGGAGGATCTGGCATGGTCAGTTGATGGTCAGGTGGTCTGTGGGTGCCTGGCTCAGCCCAGGATCGGTTTGGCAGTTGCTGGATGATTTTTGGCACCTTGCCCCCCTTTTAGACCTACCAGTTCTCAGTCTCTCCGTTAAGCCCATGGTGAACGTGCTGCAGCAGTGACGACCTGGGCTTCTGCTTCTGCGATGCAGGCCCCCCCTTTCCCATTGCTGAGGTGGGCAGTGTGGCAGGGAGAGAGGGAGAGGCTGCATTGGGGCTGCACAGCACCTGGTGTAGCCCCCTGTGTTGTCCCCTCCAGGGCTTGCCAGAGAAGGGAGAGCATCTGTTTCCCTGTGGTTCCCACCTGAGCAGTCTCCAGGAGCAAGGGACAGGGGAACAGGAGTCTTTCTCTCTCCTTGGCTACAGCTGATAGTCCTCACAGGGGCTGGCACTGAAGCTGACCCCACCCGCCTTCCTTTCCTGCTCCACATGGAAACTTCCTGCCCTTAACTTCTGAACTGCCCAGCCCCTCCTTCTGTCCCCATTCAGTTCTCTGTTTGGCAACCCCCCCCCTTCTCCCCCCACAGGGAGCCATGCTAGTTAGGGAAGGGGGAGGGGAAAAGTCAGCTTGTGCAGCTCTTCCTCTCCCCGAAGCCCAAGATGGTGTCGTCTAGGAGACAGGGCCCTGGAGGAACGCACTCAGCCTCTAGCTTGCTCTCCAGCTAGGAGACCTGTTAAGCTGTCTCCTCTCCCTGGGGTATTGAAGCCCCATTCTAAGGATGGCAGAGAAGTGTCCCATCCTCTCCTAGTGCCTCAGCTGCTCCTTCACCCAGGGAGCCTGTGCCCAGAGCTTCCTTTATATCAACATTGTTCCCAGAGCCCTGTTTCTGGAGCTCCCACTCTCTCAGGCCCTGCTTGATGCTCTGAGAAGTGCTGAAGTGGAGCCCCTGTAACTGGCATCCTCTTCTGTCCAGGAGATGAGGGCCTGGGGTACCCAGGCAGCCCTGGTCCTAGCAGCTCTTGGGTGTGTCAGTGCCGCTCTTCTCCCCATCAATTAGCTAGCTGGTAGGAAGGTGTTGGAATTCCTCCTTTCAGCTAGCTCTGCCTCCTGCTGCTGGAGTCTTCTAATTCCTTGGCCCTCTGCTCAGCCCTCCTCAGTAGCTGCTCTCTCAATGGCCAGTTCTCACCCTTCGTGCAGGAGGTGCTAGCGTTGTGCAGGAAGTGCACAGATTCTCTTCCCTCTTCGCTGCAGCTCTGTGGAAGAGCTGCTGTTATCTTGGCACCTTGCTGGAAGCATCTGACTGATTTGGGGAGCTCTCACAGTGGAGCTCCTAACCTTGTCCAGTGACCTGGGGGCAGAGAACAGGTAATCTGGGAAGAAAGCTGGTATTTATACCCCAGGGTTCTCCTGGATACCAGCTGTTGCCCTTGGCAGCTTCTCCTGTCTGCCTGTCCAGCCCTCTGTCTGTCTGCTCTCTGGCTGCACATCTTTACTCTGCATACCCTGAAGGAGCCTCCTCTGAAGAACAGGCCAAGCTCCCAGACAGCTGGCAGAGCATCGGACAAACTTTCTTCTCTGGGCCCTCCTTTCCCCTCCCTCCTTCCTCTCTTTTTCCCTCCCTCCCAGGGCTGCTGTTGCAGCCTGCTGCCACCTCCTCCTCCTCCTCCTCCCTCCCTGAATCTGCAAGGTGACTGGAAATAGGCTGAATTAATCAGCAGATTGAAGCTCTGTCTGCTCTGCTCTGCTCTGCTCTGCTGCGCCCGATTCTCTGCAGCACCGGCTCCTCACTCACGCCTGCACCAGCCCTTTGCCCTCTTCTTGCTCTCTGTTCTGCCTCTCCCTTTCTTGGAGGGCAGCTAACGCTCTGCCCCATGCTCTTTAAGCAGGCAGAGCTATGGATGCCCCTTCAGGGCAAGCATAGCACAGTGAGTATTGCCAGCTTGGCTCTCCGTTTCTCTCACTGATAATCTGTTCCCTGCTTAGAGAGGGAGTCTGGGTTAGTGGTTGCCAAAGGAGTCCTAAAGATACAGAGCGGGAGGAAGCTAGAACGAGCATGGGGTAACCAGCACCTTGGGAAGAGAATGGGCATGAGAGCCAGAATGCCAGCATGTCAGGTGCCTGAGTCGGCCAGAGGAGGACTGGGGCCCGAGCTCCCTGGGGCATTCTGCCAAGGGATGCTAGGAGCAGGTCTCAATGCACAGGGTGATAGAAGTGTGGGGCCTGCATGCCAACCCTTATTGGGGCCCAGTGAAGGGGACTTTTTGGCTGGACTACATGGCTTACCGAGTCAGGAGCCATCGGGACAGGGATGATTCCTTCCTGGGTCTTGGTGGCTGCAGGACGTGGGGTAGAAGAGGGGTGAAAGTGTTATTAAGGTCTGGTGAGCCTGGAAGAGTGAGACGAGGAGGAAGCACCTCTGTTCTGTCTGATTTTCCCAGCTGCAGGTGAGTCTAGCTGTGTCTGGCTGAACTCAGAATCAAGAGTACTGGCCAGATCTGCCTCAGTGATCTGGACATTGGGTGGAGTCCAACTTTGGGCTCCCTCCCTGCCTACACTAAGAAGGCTGTGACAGGGGACCCAGAGAAGGGACCACAGCCAGTTGTAACTGGTGGTTATCTTTGTTAAGGCCTCAGGTCAAGGTCTAAATTTATAACCTGCCCACCTGAGCCTAGGAGTCTTGATTCTGTTGCTCCTGAAACAGATGGAGTAGGAAGAAAAACAGTTGCTGAGCCGAGAGGACCTTGGAGGGCCTCTGCAAGGACAGGGCTGGGGGCTGGGAGCTTCTGACTGTGCCACCTAAGACACTTGGCTGAGGTGGGTGCAGGAGAAAACAGGGGTATCATCTCTTGGAAGGCTTGTTAGATTGTCTGATGCTCAGCTTTGTACCTTGATAGTCAGTTTTGCTCAGTGGCCAATTCCTGTGGCTGTGATTTGGTGGGCAGATTCACACCGCCCCCTCCCACCTCCATGGCCAAGATTTCCCCAAATCCCCACACTTTGCCAACAGCCCTCTTGGATAGCAGAACAGAGAGAACAAGTCCGGCTTGTTGGAAGGAAGTCCCAACCTTGAGTTATTCTTTCTGATGCTACATTCGAGTCTGAGAACTTACAACAGTGGGGATGGGGCTGGTTCTACCTGAAAAGCTTCAGTTTCCTCTTATCCTGGTCCCTCTGGGATAGAGGCCTTGCTCTTGGCCCCAGGAACATCTCCTGAGGTGCCTGCAGTGGGGCAGGGTGGGAGTTTTTAGCATCTGGGAAACAGGGTTACTTTTGGAACCTTTGGGTATTTACAGCCAGGTCAGATTTTTCGTTACCCTTCTTGGCCCCAGTAGGCAGGAAAAGTAGACCTTAGACTGTTCTTAGGTTCTTATTTCTCATATAAGAGGAACGTACTGCAGTCTCCCCAGGGTGCCTGAGCACATGGAATACCCGACCTAACTCCATGCTGGAAGGGCTGACAGCCCRCTTCCTACCAGCCCAGTCTGAATCTCCTTCAGGAAGTGTGACCGTCTTCCACAAGCTCCTCAGCTCTGGCTCTTCTGTTGTGTGGGGAAAAGCCGAGAGCCATGATGAGGGAAAGCAGTGACTTGACACCTAGCTTGGGCCCTCTTGCCACAGAGGGGCGAGCCGCACAGGCTCCGCAGTTGGATCAGCTCAGTTAAGACGGTAGAAGGCGGGCTGGCCCGGGAGGCTGAGTCCTCACCACAGGGCCAGCCTGTGCGGGCAGGCGCTTCCTTTGGGTGGCATGTAATTACAGAATGTCTTATTTGCCTTCTGTTGTGCTGTCTTTAATCCCAGTCTGGAGTCGGTGCCCCTGGCCAGACACAACATGCGGGGGCAGATGCACACAGACAGCTCTGCAGGCAGCCTGGTCCGGGAGCATCTGCCACCCTCCAGTCCACTCCTCCTTACCTGGAGAGCAGCAGGGAACCTGGGGTGGGAAGAGGGCAAGAGAACAGCTGGAGGCTGGGCAGGTGAGGAGGTCCTGGGAATGGGCCTACCTGGAAGGAGGAACAGATGTCACGACAGCCACTTGCAGCCCAGGGGAGTCAGTGTCCTGAGTGTCTGGGTCTGGAGGCCTGGCTAATGGAGAGACGCCGCCCTGGCTCTCTGGCTGCTGCTGAGCCTTTTCTCTGCCTTGCTGGAAACTATTCCTTCCTGGGCCTGGGTCCTTGTTCCAGGGTGAGGGTGTCCCAGGTGGTCCTGCAGCCCTGTGTGGTTTGCCCACCCCTCCCTCTTTTCTCCTTGCAGCCCCGTCTCCTGCGTGTGCAGCCCTTGCTTCTGCTGAACAGCCCTCCCTGCCTCCTGCATACTTTCTCACTTCATCATTTCTAGAGGTGTGGCTCAGGCACTTCCACCCTGTCCATCCTGGGGACTTTGTCATCTCACTGTGGAGAGGAAGCCCTGACACAAGAGGAAGCCTCAGTCCTAGGAAGAAGGGACAGTGTGAGGGGAGGTGTTAGGGGTCAGGGATTCTCACCTGGTTCCAGGTCCTCTTCTTCCCTTTCGGGGTCGATCAGGCATCAATGCTCTGGCCCAGCCCAGTACATGTGAGAAGGCCCTTTGGCTCCTCTTCCCTTGTGTCTTCCTCCCCTAGAGACCCCTGAGGGCCTCTTTCCTTCCATGTCAGGGACTCCAGGAGGCCTCAGAGCAGACATTGGCCTCACCTGGCATTGATTTGTCCTGGCCCTGGCCTCTCAGAAGGCTCAGGATCCTGTGGGTGCTTTGGAACACAGTGTTTACCCCTGCCCAGAGGCCATTTCCTCCTGAGCTGAAATAACCAGTTTATCTCCTCTGGTAGAAGCAGCGCTTATCTCCATGATCCACCAAAGACACCATGAAGAGCAGGATTAGGTGAAATTTAGGCAAAGGAGCTAGAAGCTTCAGTGCTGGGCCCACTCAGCCAAGGCAGCTGGGAGTTGACAGTGGGAACTCCACTCAGGTGCCTCCTGTGAGCCAGGGGCATGGTACTGGGACACTGCCCCTTAGGCCAGCCACCGCTCAATGCAGAGGAGTGTGCCCTGTGAGCGCTCAGGCCACCTGGCCCAGGAAGGGTGCCAACAGAGCTGGGCAGGGAAGAGGAAGTGCAGAAGGTGGACCAGCAAGCCAGATGACCTTGGAGGACTGACTTGTGGGTCACGGGAAGGCTGGGGGAGGCAGCCAGGGCAGCCCAGCCCCAAGTCCCTGTCCTGGTGCCTCTGGTCTAGGGATTCACTGCTCTTCTCCTGATGGAAACACATATGGAGGCTCTTTGTTCACACTGTTCCTTCAGGCGCTGCCTTTCTTGGGGCCAGTCTTTGTCCCAGAACCCTATAGCTAGAGACCTGAGATTCAGCCTGACACTGGCTTCACTGGCAGAAGTTTCTGTTCAGTAGGTCCAGGGTGGGGCATGATTTTTAAAAGCCCCAGGTGCCACTGCTACAGATTTCAGGTTGACAGCCCCTGACTGAGGTGTCATTGGAATCAGTGATACTTTTTGGGCACTCGTTCATTCACTCATTCAGTCAGCAGATAGTCACTGAGTGTGTGTGCCAGGCACCATCACTCCTAGCTTGGTAGAGGGCGTGTTCAGAGGGAGGAATTCTGTACCTGTTTTCAAGGAATTTGCAGTCTACTGGGAGAGCCAGACAGGTCAATCTATAACCACAGTTCTGTCAGACACAGGCTAAGAGCCAGGCTGCCATGGTGCCATTGGAGTACAATTGAAGTGCAGTTCCCCTTTGGGAAAATGTCCCAGAGGAGATGACATTTGAACTGTCTCGAAGAGGCCAGGATCATCTGGAGTAGGGAGCATGTCCTTGGCCAGAAAGTCCATAAAGGAGTTCTGGAGAATGGAGGCCTGCAGAAGGAATAGCCGGGTGGGATGGGGGGGTGGGGCTGGGAGGTCACAGTCCCCAAAGGCCTCACAGAGTAGGCCCAGGGGTCTGGATTGGATTTTAAAAGTAGAGGGGGTTCAGTCAATGGGGCATATGCTTGCCCTGTCTGATATACTGCAGTGAGTTTGGAAACGGTAGAGACATGGGCTGGGAAGGGTTGGGCTGGGCAGAGGGAGGGGAAGGCCAGGGTCTGCGATACTTCAGAGGCCACTGGGTAGGCAGTAGTGTGGGTGGATAGGAGAGGGCTGGGGTACGAGTTCAAGGTTTTGGATATACTGACTCCCATGCCCTGTGAAACAGCTCTGAGTCAGCTCAGTAGATGGGTCTACACTGAGGGTAGAGGTCAGACTGGGAGTTAAATGCAGGGTTGTAGGCAGTCTGGTGGCAAGAAGCCCACGACTGTGGCCCGGGATGCCTGGGAATGTACAAGAGTTGGCAAGCTGCCCAGGATGGTCTGTGGTGTGGACATAGGGAAAAGAATGGYTAGAGGGGCTGGGATAGTGGCTCAGTGGTAGAGCGCTCGCCTAGCACGTGCAAGGCCCTGGGTTCGATCCTCASCACCATATAAAAATGAATAAATAAAATAAAAAAGATATTGTGTCCAACTAACTACAACTAAAAAATAAATATTAAAAAAAAAAATGAATGGCTAGAGTCCAAGGAGGGAGAAATGGGGACAGCCAGGTCTCAACAAGGAGGGGCCTTGGAACATGTCTAGTCCTCATGTCCTCTGGGACCAGCTTGGTCCATGCTACATTCCAGTCGGCCATGGTGACAGGAGCATGGTAGAATCTCTGCACTGTTGTTCCCCAGGGATGGCTACTTTTTTCCTGAGATTATGTCCTGCCCAATATTGAGTGTTGCAAGACCTTCTCTTACAAAATAATGCTACTAGAGGTGGTAGGTTTTTCTTCATGTTATTYCTAAGAGCCATGAAAAACTGGCATCTCTAGTTCAACCCCATTAAAAAGAGTATATATTTTTCTGGCTATGAAATCTAAAAGACTGACACCCTGAGGTAAACTTGGAGATGGGCACCAAGAATATTCTGAGTGGGGCAGGAAGACCACACATGGCTGTGGGTTGAGGGTCCAGGGAAAAGTGAATTAGAAAACATTGATTAGCCCCCACAGAGTGGTGCACACCTGTAATCCCAGCACCTCTGGAGGCTGAGACGGGAGGACCACAAGTTTGAGGCCAGTCTCAGCAACTTAGTGAGACCATGTCTCAAAAATACAAATAATGGTAGAGCCCTTGGGTTTGATGCTCATTACCAAACCAAGCAAAACAAGACAGAAAACATGGAATAGAGGAAGGTTTTTGGTTTGTTTTTGTTTTTGTTTTGTTAGCCAGGCTTTAAAGAGTAGAGTCCTGTGCTCCTGAACATTTTAAAATTTGGTGGTAGTTTGGCTATGGTTATACCCTGAGGGGCAAGAGCTGGTAGAGGAAAGGAAGTGAGGGTCAGAAGGGGGAGGGGTAGTGCGGGGACAGGTCCAGCCCGTGGTGGACAGTTCCATCTGGGCAGGGACCTGGGGCCTTGGAGGTGCTGAGTGCCTCCTTTTTCCCAGCAGGGCGAGCCCCCCGTGGCCCTGGGCCTGTCCACCTGGAAGGCCCTCAGTGTCCTGAAGGAGCAGCTGGAGGCTGTGCTGGAAGGACACCTCAAAGAGCAGAAGAAGTATCTAACCTGGAAGGTGAAGCTTCTTCACGGGTGGCCAGAGCCTGGGCGAGATGGCAGAAGTGTGGGGGGTGACTGTCTCAGGGTCACGATGCACCCTGACTGCCTGGTGGGAGGAGACCACCCAACTAAGGCCTCATGAAAAGTCAGAAGTGGGGGTGGGGTCCCTCTCAGCCAGGTCCTGACACCACTTGCTGTAGGAGCTGGCTGTGAGGTCAAGTGAATTAGACGGAGGTGGCCTTGGGGACCTCAGGGGCTCAGGGCAGGGAGAGGCACCCAGATTGCAGCTGGATGGCAGGCCACTCAAGCCCAGCTGCCATGGCTCCCTAGGAGGCCTGGAGAAGCAGCTTCCTGCACCACAGTAACCGCTGCTCCTGTTTCCACTGGCCGGGTGCCTCACTTATGCTGCTGGCTGTGCTGCTGCTGCTGGGCTGCTATGGGGGCCAGCCGGCTGGGAGGTAAGTAGGGCCCTAGAGCCTCTGCCTCTGTCCCTCCATCCCCCTAGGGTGTCCCAGGGCTCTGAGGGGGCTGTCATCCCTGAGGCTGGGGAGGATAGAGGCTTCACTGGAGTCAAGAACCACGAGACCCTCTTTTCAGAAGGGACTGGGTAGAAAGGGGCATCCTAGGCTCTGGGGGTATCTGGGGGGCCCTTACTTCCTGGAAATACACAGTACCCTCTGCATCCTCTACACCAGCCAAGGGGTGGAGCTGGTGAATGCCTCTGCGCTATTCCTGCTGCTGCTTCTCAACCTGATTCTCATTGGGCGGCAAGATCGGCTGAAGCGCAGGGAGGTGGAGCGCAGGCTTCGGGGAATCATCGACCAAATTCAAGGTGAGACCAAGAGTCAGCCATGTCATTGGGAAAGATACCCTGGAGTGTGTCCRAGCCCTGAGAACTCTCCTAGGGTGGACAGTAGTCAGTATTCCAGGAGCTGCCATCTCTGGAGTTAGAGGATGCCCAACCCTCTCTTTTGCAGGGTGGTGAGGGCCCTGGAACAGCTGTGGGCACCCAGGCAGTGCCCTTGGTAGGCTGGAAGAGGTGTTGCCCTGGGCTTCTGGGCTTGTTAACATTGGGGTCTGACAGAAAAGACCCTAATGCTTAGAAGAGGGCAGTTGAGATGTTAGTCTTACCTGGTAGAACTGGGCCAGGGGAGGTGGGAAAGTGGACCAGGGAGGTTGAGATGCCCACAGGAGTCAGGGTTGGTGCAGGGAGGCAGCAGCCTAAAGTAAGCAGCCCAGTTCCTAAAGGAGAGGGGCATTGTTTGTCTTTCTGTCTCTCTGGAGTTTAAGCTCTCACTATAGACTGAGGGTTACATTAGGCTCTTTGGAGAGTCCGTGCTTTATGCTCTCCAGGGGCACGTGGTGTCAGAGAAGCAGCCTCTGCTATTGGGAGGCCTTTTTCTGACAGTCCGATCGTGTGTTGTACTCTCAGGGTAGGACAATGACTGAAAGGTAGGCCCTTCCCTCCAGGAGCATAGTCTCTTGCTTAGAAACCACCAGTAACTCCCTCTTGCTCCTCCCAGCCATCATAGACGCTGCCTGTGGCTTCTGTGCCTCTGCTGCAGGCTCTGCCCTTCCTGTCTAGCTTCTTCCCTTCCTTCTCTTCCTCCTGTTAAAACCACTTACCCCTCCCAGACGCGTGTGTGCTGACCCATTATGTGCCTCTGTCCTGCTTTTCTCTGACTGGTGAGCATCTCCCTCACTCATTTCCAACAGACAGAATTCATTCCTTCTTCCTCTTCTTGGAATCCATCTCCCATCATCCTGGCAGATAGGTTTTTCTCCCTTTCGTGCTCTGGAGGGGCTGGAATCTTTGTTAACACACTCAGCATGTATTTGCCTGCTTTGTAGTCCTTCACCCATGTGTTTCCTCCCACCACCACAGAAAGAGACCTCATACCCCTCTAGGTCCTCAGCAAAGTCTATAATGGTACAAAGAGTTCCAGGTGTGCACAGGGGCTGGCTGAAGGGTGAGAAAGTTGTTTTCCTCCTCCTATTCTCCTCAGATGCCCTCAGGGATAGCAAGGAAATCAAGTGGCCAAATGCCCTGTATCCAGACCTCCACATGCCCTTTGCCCCATCCTGGTCTCTGCACTGGGCCTACAGAGATGGACACCTCGTCAACCTGCCTGTTAGCCTGTTGGTGGAAGGTGACATCATAGCCCTGAGGCCTGGCCAAGAATCCTTCGCCTCTCTGAGGGGTATCAAGGTAACTGCAGGCTGGTCTCCTTCATGGGAATTGCCACAGGCACATCTATAGGCAATTGGGGTCCCAGGGCTCAACCCTTAAGATTGACAGCCACCTCATAGGCTTCACAAGGGCTCTCAGGCAGAGCTGAACCTCCTCTTCCTCCTCCTGATGTTCTTTCTCTCCCCAGTCCTTAAGCATCAGGGACCCAGCCCCTTAGGCTACATCCCAGCAGGCTCTTTGCTAGTGGACAGCCCCTGACCTTGGGAGCCATGGCCATTTAGCTGGCATTGTCCAGGAGGAGTGGCATCTGTGAGAGCCCTTTCATTACCCCTGTGCTGCTGGCAGGATGATGAGCACATTGTCCTGGAGCCCGGAGACCTGTTCCCTCCCTTCTCTCCCCCGCCCTCACCCCGGGGAGAAGTGAAGAAAGGGCCTCAGAACCCCCAGCAGCACCGGCTCTTCCGTGTCCTGGAGACCCCTGTGATTGACAACATCAGGTAACCATGCCACTGTCTCTTCTGCCTCTGCTTCCTCTCCCCAGTGCCTCCTGTGACAGGAGTGAGCCTCGTGCATCCCAAGGCCTTCCCGAGAGCTGGTGTCTCCTCAGGCTCCTCCCCTTGATCTCTTGTGAGAATTCTTAGACTCGGTTGTGGCCATTCCCAGTCTCTTCTACGGGGACAGCTCCGGAAGCAGCCACAGGCCCCTCTCCCAAGGGGCCATTAGCCAGGGCCAGGGTAGAGTAGGGACTCGCTAGTGCTCAGGGAAGAAGCTCACTGGTGCTCTGGCTGAGAGGCCCAGAATCCTCTCAGGGTGCTGGTGTCTGGCCTCTCCCTTGAGCAGGGCTGAGGGTCACCTCTTTCTGCAGGTGGTGCCTGGACATGGCCCTGTCCCGCCCAGTCACTGCACTGGACAACGAGAGGTTCACAGTGCAGTCAGCAATGCTGCATTATGCTGTCCCCGTGGTCCTGGTGTGTGAGGCGGGGCTGTGGGGCAGGGAGAGGGCTGGACCTGGGGGAGCCCGGGGCAGACCCAGGTGAGCATGTGAGTGCAGGCAGAGGGGCCCAGAGTGAGCCTGTGGTGTGAGTGAGGAAGGACGGGAGCCAGAGTCCGTGGTCCCCAGGGGCGAGGGCTAAGCTGCAGCCCTCCTGTCCCCTCAGGCTGGCTTTCTCATCACCAATGCCCTGCGCTGCATGTTCAGTGCCCCTGGGGTCACCTCCTGGCAGTACACTCTCCTCCAGCTCCAGGCAAGGACGGCCCTTTCTTCTCGGTTGTGCTTCCGCGCTGTGGGGCCCAGTTCCCTCACAAGGCTCTGACTGTCCCTCCCTCTCTGCAGCCCAGGCTTTCCTYAGGCTTTTGCTTAAGAATTTTTCCTTCCCCTCCTTCCCTTCCCATCCCTGGACAGCTGTCCTTTCTACCCAGGGGATGGCCATATGGCAGGGCAGCCCTCCCCTCTTCCTCCCTCTGGCCAGCAGCTCCTTGGGAATTTCCTTGTGGTCCACTCCTTTCCAGGTGAATGGCATGCTGCCCATACTCCCTCTGCTTTTCCCAGTCCTCTGGGTCCTGGCGACTGCCTGTGGTGAAGCCCGCGTCTTGGCCCAGATGAGCAAGGCCTCGCCCAGCTCCCTGGTAGGTTATTTCTAGGATCAGTGGCAGGCGAAAGAGGGAAGTGGCTATAGCAGAGAAATGGGGGCAGAAGCCCAGCTCCACCTTTGGGCTCAGTGTGTTGGAGGTTCTGAGCAGCAACATGARGGCTCCAGCCCCTTCCATTGCAGAAGGACCTCCAGACCAGGCCCCAGGGCGCAGTGATCTCCCCCCGGCTCCCACCAATGGCGAGTCAGGACTGCCCTGAAACCCCTTAGCAAAGGGGTTGGGAACCTCGATGGCRTGGGTCTCCACTGCCTGCATGGAGGCCTGTGCAAAGGTAGCTTTTTCCACACTGAGGTTCGTCCCCTTCCTGTGCAGCTGGCCAAGTTCTCAGAGGACACTCTCAGCAGCTATACAGAAGCCGTCTCCTCGCAGGTACACTGACCACAATGGTTTGTCCCAGTCCCTTGCAGTCACAAGCTCTGGTGCCCTCAGGCTCCTTCCTGGAACCTTGGGACTCTATGACCTTGAGCCTCCAGCTGGGCTCTTCGAACTTCTCCTACCCATCTACCTGTTGCATGTAGACATCACCCAGGCCTGGTCCCATGACACGTCCACATCTTGTCCCAGACTCCAACCTCCAGTGCTCCCCCTGACTCTTCCTGATTTGGGTCTTAGAGGCCATCTCCAGCGAAACAAGGCTGAGCCCCACGTAGCCTTGCAGACTTTTTCTCTCCCACCAGGAGATGCTGCGCTGCATTTGGGGCCATTTCCTGAGGGTGATTCAAGGGACATCGCCAACACTGAGCCACAGTGCCAGCCTGCTGCATAGCCTGGGCTCTGTCACGGTGAGGGTAGCCCCAGAGGGAGGAGGTACCTGTCCCTACCAGGCCTGCTGTCTGGCTTAGGTACTTATGTGGCCCSTTGGGGGTGGGGTTGATGCCAAGTCCCCTTCTAGTGCTGGCCTCTCTCCCTGTAGGTTCTATGCTGTGTAGACAAACAGGGGATCCTGTCATGGCCAAATCCTAGCCCAGAGACTGTGCTCTTCTTCAGTGGGAAGGTCGAGCCTCCTCATAGCAGCCATGAGGATCTTACAGATGACCTGTCCACCCGCTCCTTCTGCCATCCTGAGGTAGAGGAAGAGGTATGGATGGCTCCCAYGGGCTCGACTGGGCCGGGCTTCTTAGTCATGGAGCCTGGCTGGTGGCCTTGGGAGGGTGAGGATTAGGAGGGAGAAGCTGGGTCCGGGACCTCTGGAAGCTGCTTCCAGGTGGTTAAGGTGAAGCCACAGGACAAGACAGTGAGGGGCCCAGAACCATCCTGCTTCAATGGGAGCCACTAGGACCCTGGTCCTAGGTCTGTGTCCCTGTTCTTCTCAGCCCCACGAACGAGATGCCCTCCTGACTGGCTCCCTGAGCAACACCCTGCACCTTTCCAATGAGCAGGAGCGCGGCGACTGGCCTGGTGATGGTCCCAAGCCCCCCGAGGCCTACTCTTACCACAAAGCACACGGCCGCAGCAAACACCCATCTGGCTCCAATGTGAGCTTCAGCAGGGACACTGAGGGCGGCGAGGAAGGTCCTGGAAAGGTGAGGAGGGACAGAGTAGAGAGGCCACCTCATCTGCTGCAGGCTTTCCTGGTCTCTCCTGCCAAAGGTGCACAGCCCAGCCTGGACTGTCAGGGTCTGAAAGAATGCAGAAGTTGCACACAGCCCCCTGTCTAAGGGCCCTCAGCCTGGCCATCAGGAAGGATGACCTCCTGAGGCCTCACCCAAGTCTCTTCTGTGAATTCCTTTTCCAGTTCTCTCTGATGCTCACCAGCCTCCTAATTAAAACCTTCTAAACACATAAAGCCATGGTGTCCTCTTGGATGTTGACCCATGACTGAAAAAGATCTCTTATTGTTTCCTCCCTGTCTGGCTGTCCGCTACAGGGCTACCAGGGTCATCGAGTATAGATACTAAAGGCAAACTGGAACCGAGAACAGGGAGAGGGTCTCGGGAGGGACAGGAGCGTGTTAACAGCAGCACTTGGCCTAGGAATGTGTTTTCTTGCAGGGCCCACCCCACTCCCAGCCTGAGGCTCCTCTTCTCCCATTCCTACAGGGCCACCCTGGCACAGAGGCCGAGCCCTATGAAGCAGAGGACTTCGTGTGTGACTACCACTTAGAGATGCTGAGCCTGTCCCAGGACCAGCAGAACCCCTCCTGCATCCAGTTTGATGACTCCAACTGGCAGCTCCACCTTACTTCTCTCAAGCCCCTGGGCCTCAACGTGCTGCTGAACCTGTGTAATGCCAGTGTCACTGAGCGCCTGTGTCGCTTCTCGGACCACCTGTGTCACGTTGCCCTGCAGGAGAGCCACCGCACTGTGTTGCCTGTGCATGTGCCCTGGGGCCTCTGCGAGCTGGCCCGCCTCATCGGTATGGTCCAGGGTGGTGGCAGTGGGGCAGGGCTGGCTGGGTGTGCGCTGGCTTCTTCAAACAGGCTTGGCACAGGCTCCGCACAGATGAGTTGTCGGAATGGCATTTGCTTGCCATGAGTACCAGCCGTTCTTTTAGATTCTGATGGTCCCACCTCAAGCAGACAGCAGTGTGAGGCAGAGCTTCCTGGCGTGGGAAGATAACAGACTGTCAGGATGAAAGACTGAAGGACTGGCTGGACTGTCTGCTGGGCAGTGAGGCAGCAGGTGGAGCAAGCCTCTGCCCTGTGGCCCTGAATCCTAACGTTGTYCCTGCAGGCTTCACTCCAGGGGCCAAGGAACTCTTCAAGCAGGAAAACCACCTGGCGCTCTACCGCCTCCCCAGCGCTGAGACTGTGAAGGAGACCTTGCTGGGGCGGCCATCCTGTGTCACCAAGCGGCGCCCCCCACTCAGCCACATGATCAGCCTCTTCATCAAGGACACTGCCACCAGTGAGCCTCACATCAGCTCAGCTGRCATCTAGTCGAAAGTTCCAGAGCTTGGCGGGTGGAGTTTTCTGCCCTGCTGAGTCCATTTCTAGGGAGGACTGGGATGATGAACGGTAGACCACTTCCTAAGTTCTCTAGTGTGGCAGAGATTAGGACTGGGAACCTCGGCCAAAGGACAGGAAGAATAGCATCTATATTACCAATTCAGTGGGTTTCATAGCGGCTTGCTGTCCATGTGGCCTACAGGGGTCCCTCCTCTGTCATGGGCTCCTTAGGACTCTTCTCAGGGATGGCAGCATGCTACCTGTTGGGTCGGATGAAGCAGGGCCTGGCTTGGGGCCTTCATGTTTTGGTCTTTTTACCCCACCCTCAGGCACAGAGCAGATGCTATCCCATGGTACTGCTGATGTGGTCTTGGAAGCCTGCACAGACTTCTGGGATGGAGCTGACATCTACCCGCTTTCAGGATCTGACAGGTGGGTGAGGAAGGAGTGTGGCCAGTCTATCTGCCCATCTCATGGACACAGGGCATCTTAAGACCACTCACCTCATTCCACTCTGCTTCCCTGGCAGAAAGAAAGTGCTGGATTTCTACCAGCGAGCCTGCCTGTCTGGTTATTGCTCTGCCTTTGCCTACAAGCCCATGAACTGTGCCCTGTCCTCTCAGCTCAATGGCAAGTGCATTGAGCTGGTGCAGGTGCCTGGCCAGAGCAGCATCTTCACCATGTGCGAGCTGCCCAGCACCATCCCTATCAAGCAGAACACCCGCCGCAACAGCTGGAGCTCCGATGGTACCGCACACTTCCCTCCCAGTGGGGTGGCACTGGGGCTCCTGGTGGTGCCTCTGGAGGGCCATGGCATCGTTTGCTGCAAAAAGGGCCACGGGCACTGTTTGGGAGCTAGGATGCCAGTGTGGCACTCATTAGCTGGTGACATGGAGTGCCCCTTAGTTTTCTCTCTAYAAATAGGTGCTTACTCTATCCTCTTTGTAGGTCTGTTGTGATTTCAAGGGGGTTACTATATATAAAAGTTATGGAAAGTTATGAAACTTTTCAAAAAGGTATGCATTATAGAGTGTTAGCCTTATTAAAACAGACAAAAGCTTAGGTCACAAAACCCTACTGGAATCTAGGGTCTCAGAACTTACCCCTTCTACCTCCAAGTACACACTTATGGGGTCTTAGAAACCCAGGAGGCCATGTACTGAAGCAGTTGCTAAGGGTGGGGCCAGCCCCCATCCTTGGAGTGGGGCTGTGCAGGAGCTCTGCCACTTCTACCTGGCTCTCCGGATGGCCACCTGACTGATGAGTACCTTTCATTGTCTTTTCTCCTGTCTGTTGGCTCCTTTTGCATCTTGGCTGTGTGTGTGTGTGGTCCCCTGGGGCCCACCTGCTCATTGATTTGGGTGTGGCCCTCGGCTGCCTCCTGGAATCTGCTGGTTCCTGGGTGTCCTGACTGGGTTCCTGGCATCCTGCCGCTTGTTTGCTGCTTTTGTATCTTGTTCCTGCCTGAAGAAGGGATCGGGGAGGTGCTGGAGAAGGAAGACTGCATGCAGGCCCTGAGCGGCCAGATCTTCATGGGCATGGTGTCCTCCCAGTACCAGGCCCGACTKGACATCGTGCGCCTCATCGATGGGCTGGTCAATGCCTGCATCCGCTTCGTCTACTTCTCTTTGGAGGATGAGCTCAAAAGCAAGGTGGGGAGAGACCTCTCCCTCTGCTGCCACTGACTCCTTTCCCCCATGGGCTTCCTCTGTTCATTTCATCTTCCTTTTTTAGGTGTTTGCAGAAAAGATGGGCCTGGAGACAGGCTGGAACTGCCACATCTCCCTCACACCCAATGGTGACATGCCTGGCTCCGAGATCCCTCCCTCTAGCCCCAGCCATGCAGGCTCCCTGCATGATGACCTGAATCAGGGTGAGGGCAAAAGCATGTGGTGGGGTCAGTGCGGGTGGAAGGCTTCCCTCCCAGGAGCTGCAGCTAGGAAGACCCTCCGTAGGTCTCTTCTGATTAGTATACTCCCTTAGAAAATGGCCCCAAATGTCCTTGCAGGCAATAGCAGTGGGAGGGGAAGAGTGGAGACCTGGAGGCAGGAAGTTGTGTGCCATCTGCAGGGCAAGGGAAGGCCCCAGAAGGCTGGCCCAAGGTTGAAGGACAGACTTTTGTCCCCCACAGTGTCCCGAGATGATGTGGAAGGGCTCCTCCTCATGGAAGAGGAGGGTCACTCTGACCTCATCAGCTTCCAGCCTACRGACAGTGACATCCCCAGCTTCCTGGAGGACTGCAACCGGGTACGGTAGCAGGATCTGCCCCTGCCTCCCCAGTGCCCTCTGAAGTGGCTTCATGGCTGGTCCAGGGGAGGGAGGGGCAGGCAGGTGAAGTGGAGGCACCTTGCTCCCCATCCTGAGGTTACTGGCCTCTTCCCTTCCTCCAGGCCAAGCTGCCCCGGGGCATCCACCAGGTGCGGCCCCACCTGCAGAACATTGACAATGTGCCCTTGCTGGTGCCCCTCTTCACTGACTGTACCCCTGAGAGTGAGTGCTGTGGCCCCTGCTGCTGAGCTCTGCCAGGGCTGAGCATCCATGGGCTCCAGAGGGGATGTGGGTTTCCCATGTGGGGCTGCGATTGCGGGGTAATCTAGTGGGCTGGCACTGTGGTTTGGCCATTCCAGGGAGCCAGAAGTGACAGTATTCATATGATCATGCTGCTGGGATGGGATTGTTCCAGAGAGGGGCCCACTTCCCATTGTTTCCTGCCCTTCTGGCCTGCGGGTCTCTGCTGGCACCTGCACAGGGCTCCACCTGCCTGAATCTTGTGCATCCCACCTGTCCCCCAGCCATGTGTGAGATGATAAAGATCATGCAGGAGTATGGGGAGGTGACCTGCTGCCTGGGCAGCTCCGCCAACCTGAGGAACAGCTGCCTCTTCCTCCAAAGTGATGTCAGGTCAGAGCAAGACCCAAGGGCTGGTGGGCCAGCCTCTGCCTCTCAGATCTGGGCAGACCTGCATGGAACTTGGGGTATATCCAGTGGTTGATCTTGCATTGGCTGGGACCCAGGCACTTAGTTTGTGGTGGGAGAAGAGGGATGGGATGCTCAGTCCTGGGGGATATGGGATCTTCCTGAAATGAAGCTCATGGGTGGGCTTTTCCTACACTATGTAGCATTGCCCTGGATCCCCTGTACCCGTCCCGCTGTTCCTGGGAGACCTTTGGCTACGCCACCAGCACCAGCATGGCTCAGGCTTCCGATGGCCTTTCTCCCCTGCAGCTGTCAGGGCAGCTCAATAGCCTGCCCTGTTCCCTGACCTTTCGCCAGGAGGAAACCATCAGCATCATCAGGCTTATCGAGCAGGTGGGGGCTCAGACAGGTGGAAGGGGTAGGAGTACAGGGCTCCCCTGGGGCAGCCTGCTGGGAGGAGTTGCCACACAGGATATTTCAGGGCCCCCAGGCTTCATGCTSAGCTCTCAAAGAAAGTGAAACTCCCCCAGGCAGTTAAATTGGTCTCTGCTCCTTCTTTGCAGGAGCATCATGGCTTTTGGCTGACGTTTGTCAGTTGTAGGGCCTGAGAGAGTTCAGGCAGGCTCAAGTCATAACCTATCCTTCTCGGTTCCTAGGCTCGGCATGCCGCCTACGGCATCCGTAAATGCTTCCTCTTCCTGCTACAGTGCCAGCTGACCCTCGTGGTTATCCAGGTGAGCTGGGGCCAGGACAGACATTATCCCCTCCCCGTCTGCTCCTTTGTGGAAAGGCCAGTTGAGAATCTGAGGCGGGAAGCTGGGATGCAGCGCAGCCGAGGGGTCCCCAGATCCTCTGGGAAGCCCTTGGGCATTTGGAGTTGACTCTACTGGCAGGAAAGTGKGCTCTCCAGCCAGTTCCTCTTGGCCAGGGCACAAGCATCTCTCTGGGCAACAGGCATGGCAACCCTGGCACCCCTCAGCTCTTATTAATTGTGGTTCCTGGGTTCTTTCTTGGTCTAGTTCCTTTCATGCCTGGTCCAGCTGCCACCACTTCTGAGTACCACAGACATCCTGTGGCTGTCCTGCTTTTGCTACCCTCTGCTCAGGTGAGAGGCCTTGCAGCCCTTCTGTGTCCAGCCAGGTAGGGCCAGGATATCATGGGCGTCCTAGGAGCACAGGGTGCTCAAAGCTCATCTCCAATGGTGCAGGAGGCACTGAGGGAGTGCTCCTTTGCCTTCTCCCACCTCTTTACCAGACTTGACCTCACTCTCAAGACTCCCTAAAGGCTTTTCCTGTAAGAATTGGGGGACAGAGGTGACAGTCCCTGCCTCTTTACCACTCTTGCTTTTCAGCATCTCTCTGCTGGGGAAGCCACCCCATAGCTCCATCATGTCAATGGCTACAGGGAAAAACCTTCATTCCATTCCTAAGAAGGTAAACAAGGCAGACCTGACAAACCAGAACCTGTCATGGAGGAATGCAAGTGGCATGGAGTGGGCTGAAGGTTGGGGTCTGGGAGARGGTTGAACCAGAGGCTTTGAGGTTGGGAGACCTAGAGAGTCAGCACCTGAGCTGGTAGTTGGAGCTGAGAAAGATCCTTGTTGGGGGTGCAGTCCCTGCTCTTTCTCCCCCAGCCTGTCCATTTGCTAAGAGCCTTTTGAAGATGTGAGTCCCCTGAGTGCTGGACCCACCATGTGGCCAGCAAAAGGGCCACCCGCCATGGGAATGACCTGCCTCCCTTCTCCTGCAGACCCAGCACTACTTCCTGCTCTGCTTCTTACTCAAGTTCAGCCTCACCATCAGCTCGTGTCTCATCTGCTTTGGCTTCACGCTGCAGAGCTTCTGTGACAGTGCCCAGGCCCGCAACCTCACCAACTGCTCCTCTATCATGCTGCGCAGGTGGGTCCATGGGGCTCCCTCCCTCCCCACTCCAGCCCACTTCCCTGAGGCCACACAGGAGGCTGAGCCCTTGTCTTCCTTTGGCAGTAACGATGAAAGGGCTCCAGCCTGGTTTGAGGACTTTGCCAACGGACTACTGTCAGCTCAGAAGCTCACAGCTGCTCTAATTGTCCTGCACACTGGTGAGGGCTCAGTTTAAAAGGAACTATTGACTGCTGAGTGGAGATGCCCTGATATGGGGGATAAGGCCCCGGACTAGTGGGGAGTCTGACGCCCCCATCGGCCCTTTTTCTCCAGTCTTCATCTCCATCACCCATGTGCATCGCACCAAGCCTCTGTGGAGAAAGAGCCCTTTGACAAACCTTTGGTGGGCCATGACGGTGCCTGTGGTGTGAGTAGTGCTGGATGGAGGGGACCCTGGGGCCAGGGAGGGGCTTCTGTAGGGCTAGGATTGAGACCTCTCTAGGCCAGAGGTCTACCTGCCCTCGTTGAGCACTTAGGGCAGGTGGGGAAGGAAGCAGACAGCCCCGGTATCACATAGGGCTGCCTCCCCCTCCCATAGGCTGCTGGGTCAGGTGGTGCAGACAGCTGTGGACCTGCAGCTGTGGACACATACGGATAGCCGCATCCACTTTGGTCTGGAGGATGTACCCCTGCTGACATGGCTCCTGGGCTGCCTGTCCCTAGTCCTTGTGGTGGTCACCAATGAGATTGTAAAGCTGCACGAGATTCGGTGAGCTGTCAGCAGGGCACCTCCCTTGGGGCTTCAGCATGTTGCCTAAACCTGTCACCCTCTTATCTGCATCCTTCCCTCCCTCCCTCCCTCTGGGGTCCTGCTCCATCTCCTGGTCTGAGGATCTATAACAATCTCCTGCCCCACCAGGGTCCGCGTCCGCTACCAGAAGCGACAGAAGCTACAGTTTGAAACCAAGCTGGGCATGAATTCTCCCTTCTGAGCCATTGGCCATAGCAGCCACCATTGCCCTGGTCCCTGGGGCAAAAGCCAGCMCATTCCTGAGTCTGAGGAATTGGTATTATTAATATTTCAGGGTTTGCTCTTGTGCCCTGTGGCATCGGAGGTCGAGCTCTGGTCCTTGGAGACACTGGCTTAATGAGGAGAAGTTAAGGAGTTGTGGCCTTGACCAGACAGGACTATCCTAGCTCTTCCCTGGCCTTGCCAGGGGCACTCTTGAATGTATGACCTCAGGCGCTGGGTAGAGGGACCGTCAGTCCCACCTGGTGGGATGCCCTGCTTCAGGGTCCCCTGTCCCAGTGCCCTCTGCTCTTGCACTTATGGCTCAGCTTCAAAGCCATGGGCAAGGGCCTTAGCCTTTTTTGGAAGAGCAATGGCTGCTGCCTTTTGGCAATGCCTCGTCCTCCTTGACCCCCCACATCTTGTCTTCCTGGGGTAAGGCCTGGGTGTGGCCCTGAGGGCTTCTCCTCTAGAGGGGAGTCTCAGGCTTGGGCCTGAAGATGCAGAAGGGCCCCCACCTTGCCTGGAGCCTCTTTCTGTGCTTGCACTCAAATGCCTGTAAGTCAGTTTTGGGGGAKATGGCCCAGGTCTCTGTAGCCCCGCCCTTGTTCTCCTGGGAGATGTTTTTACTGGTGTATATTTTTTACTGGAAATGAACCTTTTAGGAATGAATGTAGGCTGGTTTATATTAAAACTTGTAAATTGCTTAAGAAAAACCTGTGGCTGGTCCATGAGGCAGCTACAAAAGGGTAGGCACGAAGTGGTCACCACCAGGCTGCAGGCACTGAGCCCTGAAGGCGAGGACTCAAGCCTTTCTTTTTCCACATAGGCAGGTGCTCCTAGAGCCAGCTCAGGGAAGAGCCTGGACTTGGGTCCATGGCACAGATCCAGACAGACAGCCCAGTCATGTGGAATGACACTTTCATTGGTGTTAGTGAGGGAAAGGTTAATGGTTACAGAGCCAGGGCCTAGGCCAACTGGGTCGGGCCTCCAGCGCTGAGGTGGGCAGCAGGTGTCCCTGCTGTGGTCTGAAGGCCCTCCCACACTGCGTCCTCTCAGGCAGTTAATAGATAGAATAAATTCCATTTAAAATATATGCATTTCTCTCTGCTTAAAAAATAACATTTACAGTTGAAAAAGTCTGGACACTGGGGATCTGTTAATCCCATTGCTTCCTAACCCTGCTAATACTGTCTCCCAGTGAGGGATGGCAGGAGCAAGGACAGGAGCTGGTCAGAACATGGCCAACCATGAGGGCATGCCCCGTTGGGTATTTACATGTCCTATGTACACAGGCAGGGAGGGGGCCAGCCAGGCACACTGCCCCACCCAGGGCAGCACATGGGTGGACAGAGGCATCCCCTCAGCACAGGAACTTGAAACATGGGGTGGGAGTACAGAGACAGCACCCCCGAAGCCCTGCCACCACCTCCTCCTTGAGGAGAAAGCTCTTAGCAGGGTCCCCATCCAGTCAGATTATACATGGGAGGGGGCTCTGACGAGACGCAGCCGAGACCCCTCAGCTAGTCAGGTTCTGATGAGGCCCCTGGCCCCTCCCCAGGGCTGCCCCACAGCATTAACAGCTGTGTTGGGAGCAGCAGGGAGGGGCTCTGCTGGGGCAGGATACTCCAGCCCGACCAGCCCTAGGCCTCTGCCTAGGGTGGCCAGCCCTTTTCTGTGCTGGGCCAAAGGTAGTGAATGTGACAGGTCACAGTGGGCACCACTGGAGGACCACAGGCAGGTCTTGCTCAATCCAGCATGGCATCCAGCTGGTCAGCCAGGGCATCAAACATGGTGCTGATGTCATCCAGAATGTGCTTGGTGGAGGTCACCGGGGAACTGCAGCAAGGGAAAGGGCTGGATCAGAGGGGCCAGAGGCCTGCAGCCCATTGGCCCTGGGTAGGAGCTGCCACTGAGCCACTGCTGGGTGCCAGGCACTCAGTGCGCATCACCTCTTAATGCTCAAAACATCCTGGGCAGCAGGAGTTCCTTCCTTACAGATGGTTTTTCTGAGGCTGGGGGTTGAGGGACTTGCCCAAGCTCTCATCCCCCTACGGAGGCAATCACCAGGAATCCCTTCAGATCAGATCTGGGTGACTCTAAAACCTGAGGTCCTGCCATCCTATTGGAGGGCTCCCCAGCTTGAGGCTCTGCCTGCAACATCCCCCTGTGATAGTCCCAGGACCCATGTTCCATGCCCACCCTTTTCTCCCACCCCATCTGACAGCCAGCATCCTTACCCTTCTCGCTCCTCAGCACCAATGCTCTTCTCTGCAGCCCTTAGTGCAGCTGCCAGGGATGAGCTGGTCTGCTCCAGTCTCTGCTGGGCCCGGCCTGAGCCCACAGCCCCTGTGCTCTCGGGCCTTGGTGGGGGCACTGGGCGAGGGCCCAGGCGGGGAGCCAGCTTTGGGCCAGAGAATGCGAGTTGGGTGCAGGCCACAGACACAGGTTTGGGGGCTGTTCCTGTAGACAAAAAAGTTGGCAGGTGACTCATCTGGGTTGAAATGTCCCCTGTACACAGCATACCACCCCTACAGGCTTCAGCTTCCTACCTGCTCCAGGCACCTTGAGGAAGGCAGCAGGGGCAGTGGGGGGCTCCATCTCCACATTCTGCCTACCACCTGCTGAATTTTCCAGACTTGGCCCAGTGCAGGGCACTGGGGGGACGGGGGGCTGCGTTATGGGGCTTGGAGGAGTGGCTGGAGCTCCTTGATGTGAAAGGCTGCTGGAGTCAGGCTGTGACGGGTTAGAGGAAGTGGAGGTGGGGGACTCACTAGGAGCCTTGGAGGGCAGGGGAGCAGAGGGGCTAGGGGTGGCTCCTGCCACCCCAAAGGCTAGCAGTGCTGTTTGCAGTGGCTCTCTTTCCCTGCATTTGGGCCTCCGTTTGACAGTGTCTGACTCTGTGAGGTTGAAATCGAGGCCAGGGGGCACAGGCGTCTCCCGGGTTGGGGGGCCAGCTGGCTTCGGCCGCTGCTTGATAGTAAGATTCCCCTCTTCTGCAAATGGCAGCCCTTCCCCGGAGCTGCCCCGAGATGGGGGTGTCCCCTCAGGGCCAGGCTCTTCTTCCTCTGTGTCTGACGCAGGGCCAGATGAGACGGGCAGACCAGGAGACTCAGAGGGGCCAGCTGGTTCACTCAGTGTTCGCCTTCGGGGCCCCACAGCACTCTCCTTGGACCCTGAGCTCCCTTCTAGTGGAGGTGGCTCTGAGGGGCCAGAGACTGAGCTGAGGCGCTTGGGGGGTGGGGGTGGAGGGCCTTTTCGACGGGCACGAAGAGCAAAGGACTGGCTGCGGGGAGCCCCTCGAGATGGGGTTGGGGTAGGACTGGTCCGGGCGAGGGTGCTGCGTCCTGGTCGCCGGGTAAGGGTGGCATAACTGCCCACGGTGCTGCCCACTGGGCCTTCGGTCTCCCCCTCAGCTTCTCCCTCTGCAGGGCCGGGGCGGCTCAGGCTGTGAGACCTGCGCTTGGGCCGAGGTGGGTCTGGAGGAGCGGCAGGGGGGCCGGCCAAGTAGGAGAAGGCTCGGGGTGCACCAGGAGGTGGCCCTGCAGCTGGGCTAGAGGGTGAGCCCTGGGGGTACATGAAAACATAAGGGGCAGGTCCTTGGCCAGGAAGTGGGGAGCAGAGCTTAGAGGGCCGCTCGGTGCCCTCTGGAAGGTTCCTTTCCTGTAGGGCACTAGGGTCTCCACCACTGGGCTGAGGGGCAGGCTGCTCCTGTGAGTGACCAGACCCTCGTGAGCGTGCGCCAATGCTCTCCTGGCTGGAGGAGCGGGCAGGGGGCAGGGGGAGTGGCTCAGGACCACCCCCTGCCATGGCTGCTTGTAGCTCTGGGCTCAGCTCACTGCCCTGAAAAGTGAGAAGGCGTGGGCCAGCCACAGCTGGACCCTCCCCATTCTCTAGCCCCTCAATGGCCATCAGTTCCGGACCCCTGGCCAGCCGATGCCCACCCTCACCCAGGGCCTCCCCCTGTAGAAGGCCCCGCCGAAGCTCTGCCAGCCGCTTCACACCCAGCATAAGCTTCTTCTGATGCCCTGGGAGGGGTGGACAGAAGGAATGAGGTTAGCTGGGTCTAGGATGGGTCACTCCCACCTCCCCAGACCCCATTCTCTGTTCTCTTAGAGACCCTGGAGGCATGGGGGGGGCCCAAGCAGAAGGCCTCAGAGCGGTCCTCACCCAGCTTGTTGACACCAATCTCCTGCAGCTCCTCCCAGGTGAGGTCGGCCACCAGCCCCATGGAGTCATAGCCACTGCTCACCAGCTGCTTGTGGTACTGTGGCAACCCCAGTGCACACAGCCACTCCAGCAGGTCCGTCTGGAAGAGCACTGTCATCAGATCTTGCTTCCCACCCAAGCCAGAAAGGGAGGGGCACCACAAAACCATAGCCCCAAGTGAGAGCCCCAGCACCCAGCCCAGCAGCCGGCTCACCGGGATGTAGTTGGGCAGCCACTCGGCAATGCTAAGCTGGGCGATCTCTGAGGCGATCTTCTTCCTGTGCCCAGGCTTGGTCACCCCGATGGCGGTCAGATCCTGCCACACAGGACATGGGTATCAGGCTCCTCCTCTGCCTGCTGGGCCCTCCCTGACCTGGCTGCAGCACCCACCTCAGGTGTCATGCGACTAATGGTTGGCACATCATAGCCAGCCTGCAGAAAGTGGGCAGTGTAGCCCTCCAGCTGGAACTCACTCAGCCAGTTGTGAATGGCCTGTGCATCCTGTTGGGGTTGGGGAGGGGACACAGCTGGAGCTGAGTCTGCTGAGCAGCTCAGCCTCCCGCAGGGCTGAGCTTAAGTCCATAGAAGGCCCTCCATCTCCTCTACTCACCCCCTCAAGGCCCACAGCGTACCCCCAGCAGAGGTCTCACCTTCCCCTCTAGCAGCTGTTCTGGTCTCACATCTTGGGTGAAGATCTCCCCAGAGCGGTAGCTGGCCAGAGGGAGGTGGCTTAGGTTGTCTTTGAGAAAGGAGAGTAATGGCATCAGGTGGCGGAAGGAAGGGGTGGCAAGCCCTTAGCCTCCCCACCTGCATCTCTCCTAGCCATCCCTGGTCCCATCGAGCCTTCCTACCTGCCAGGGACGGGGTGTGCAGTCCTGGCAGCACCTGGTCCTCCCCTGCAGAGGGCAGTGGCTGGAGACAGGGAAAGAACCCACTCAGCGTGTGGAGAATTGCAGTTGGGCTAGACCCTGCCCTGGTCCCAGTGCCCTCGCTCCTACCTGGGCATTCTCAATAAGGAGGCCAGTGCCATGGCCGTTGGTGCCCTCGGAACTCTGCCCGCTGCCAGCACTGCGGATACTGCCCACACTGCCCTCGCTGCCCACACTATTCCTGTCACCTGCTGTAAAGGGCAGAAGGACAGAGGTCAGAGCCTCAGTTGGTACTGCTAACAGCTGACTGGCAACTTGCTAAAGCCAGACGCCCCCACCAGTGCCTGGTGCCACCCTCTGGGAGAATGTACCTGGGCTGTCTGGGCTGAGGCCCACCCGAGGAAGCTGGCCATAGGTAAGAGGGTGTAGGGAGTCGTCAGTAGGAGGCTGCGTTGTCCGGGAGAAGCCTGGGCGCAGTGGGGTAGGTGCGGAGGGGAGACGGGGCACAGGGATGCCCACCCGCTTGCTGACCACTTCCACGATGCCTGGGGGAAAGTAGCCTACACGGTCCGTGCCCCTTTGGCTCTCATGGATGTGGCCCTTCCAGCGGCCATCAGGATGCTGTTCAAGCACCTGTGACAGGTTGTAGGGGGAAGGGATGATGACTCCCCACATCAAGCTATTCTTGCCACCGTCCAACAGCCCGGGGGTCCAGCTCTTCCCCTACTCTCAGGGCACTCGCCTTTGATATCCAAGCCAGCCCAAGTTTGGCTCCTGTGTTCAGCAGGCAGCTCAATGCCCCTGTGCCACAGAGCTTAGAGACAGAGGACCAGAGAGAGCCTGTGCTCTAATCCTAGCTTGCTACTTGCCAGCTGTGGGACCTTGGGCAAGTCACTTAATCTTTAAGCCTCAATTTTGTCATCTTTAAAAAAGAAATGATGATGGGGCCTACCCTCCCCAGATTTGGAAAGAAAGAAGTAAGGGAGCAGATGGAGACCTAACACAGCCTGATATCACAGGTAAGTCACAGCAAACATTCATGTTCTCAAAGGAATGCCTGTCGGGCCCCTCACCGTGATGACATCCCCCGCTCGGACATTGAGAGCAGTGGGGTCATGGAGATTCCAGAAATCCTTGAGTGCTCGGACCTTCAGGATCCCTGAGGCCTCTAAGAGAAAAGGGAGGGCAGGCATCACCTAAAGGTCCTTTGGCCATCTCCCTACCACCCCACCCACTCACAGCTTCCCCAGGAGACACCCACTCCTCTTCCTCATCCTGGAACCTACTAAATGGCTCCAGCCCTTGGCTGGGTCTTCTCCCACACACTCACCCCGAAGTAGCTGCTTGATTTCCCGGCTGGCCTGAGAGGTGGTGAACTGATTCACGATGTCCAGTGCCGTCTGGTTATACGTGTTCCGGATGTTCACATCCACACCTCCCTAGGTAAACAGTGGCAGGAGCTCATGCTAAGCACTCTGTCATCTCTGCCCTAGTCCTCACTATCACCCAGGAGGTGGGTGCTGTTGTCATTTTCAGACCTTATAGGTGAGGAAGGAGGATTTCAGAGACCAGGTCAGGGACGAGCTAGCAAGAGRCATGCTTAGGTTCCAACCAGGTAGAGCTGCTCTTGGGCCTTAGGACCACTCAGGAAGCCGGGGCCTCTTTCCCGCCATCCAAACAAAGCAAATCACCCTGGCTTCCCCGCCTGGTCCCAGCACATGACAGAGGCTCCACACACACCTGTGGAATGACCAGGTGCCATACCCACCTCGAGGAGCAGCCGAACCACCTCAGTCTTGCCATACAGTGCAGCCTCGTGGAGTGCTGTGCCTGTCTTGGTCTGGCGGTTGATTTCAATCCCAGCTCTTAAGAGCTGCCTGTGGTGGGCAGAGGGAATCAGGGGTACTGGGCCAGGGGAGAAAGCCAACTGCCGGGAACTAGGAGATGGAGCCTGGGTGAAGATGGCAGCAGGGAGGCATGGAGGGGGCACCGACGGTCCCACAGGAAGGGGATGAAGAAGTTGTGGGGGGGTCACTGTGGGTACCTGATGACTTCTCTGTGGCCATTCTTGGCAGCCAAGTGCAGGGGTGTGGTGTAGTTGGGGTCACACGGGTCCTTGGCCTCACCCTCCAGCAGCGCCACACATAAGTGGCTGTTCAGTAGCAGCTGGGTCACCTGCAGCATGCAGCACCCAGCACCCAGTTGGAACCTCTCCTGAGACCCACAGACACAGGCACTCAGAGCCCCCCAGGACTATAGGCCTTACCTTGAGCCTCCCAAATTCACAGGCCAGGTCCAGGGGCGTCTTCTTGGCCTTGTTGACCAGGCATGGRTTGGACTGATGCTGGAGGAGCATTTCTGACTGGGGTGGGGAGAGCCAAGTGAGGGGGCGTGGCCTGGCTGGCCTCTGACCTCTTGGCTTCCCCGCCCAGCATCCCTACTGCAGGCTCACATACCACCTCATAGTGTCCATATTGTGCGGCCAGGTGCAGAGGGATCTGCCCGTCCAGCGAGGCGGCATTAACAGCTGCAGAGGCGCGCAGCAGTAGCCGGACGGGCTCCAGCCGGCCCTGCCAGGCTGCATAGTGCAGTGGGCGCATACCTGGCAGGAGGAAGGGCTCTGAGGGAGATCCCAGGATGGCGTTGGGGTTTGAGGGACTTAAGCAGATTGCAGAGCCACCCAGCTGGGAGGGGAGACAGCCCAAAAAGGTGCGGACACTGGATCAACCCAGATTTGGTCAGGAAGAAATCCAGCTGCATGGGTCCCAAGCCAGAGTCCACCATGGCCACTACAGGTAATCTGGCAACCACAGGCCAGTGATGTGAGTAACCTCTCTGAGCCTCAACCTCTTCATCTGAATATCAAGACATGAGTGCCACTCTCTACTCCCAGAAGGCTACAAAGAGGGAAAGCCATTTGCAAGCCCAGAGAAGCTTTGGGAACAACTAAATAGCATTGCTGTGTCCTAACAAGAGCAAGCTCTGGTCAGAGGTCTGGGTTGAGCCTCTACCTTCACCAGGCGGGGACACACTGCAGTCTCACCATTGCTGTCCTTGATGTCAACAGTGGCCTGAGCCTCCAGCAACAAGGCTATGAGCTCTAGGCTACCTCCCAGAGCGGCATGGTGGAGAGCAGAGAATCTGGCATGGGGGGAACACAAAGTAGGGGATGTCAGTAAGCAGTCTTCCATCCCCAAATCCTGGCCTGCCACACCCAAACTCATCCTGAGGCCTGGCAGGGATGGGTTACTTGCACCCCCACCCCTGCCAGCCCTGCCGTGGGAGCGCACAGCAGCCGAGCCGTAGCATGAAAGGGCTCAGTGTCTGGGCTGAGTGGCCTGTTTGTCTGGCATCCCCCCCCAGCCAGCCTAGGGGAGGGGGCCGTGGGAGCAGGAGCCCTCAGGCTCCTACCCTCCAGGGAGAAAAGGGGCCCAGGAGGAATCCAACTCAAGGAAACCCCTCAGAGAGGCCTCAGGCCCCTCCCCATGCTCAGGGCTAACCTACTGAAGGGTGGGTGGGAAGGACCCCCACACTCTGCTCTACCCAGGCAGGACCCAGAGCTCTCAGCAAATATGCTTCAAGGGTCAAGTTTAAGAGAGGAAAGGATTCTGGAGTCCAGAACCTTTCCCTTCCGGCCCTCCCGTCACTCAGCATCTCTTACTCACCCATCAGCATCCTGGTAGTTGACATTGAGCCTCTTCGTGGAGCCGAGGAGCTCTGGGGGTCAGGGCAGGGGCATCAGGGAACATGCAACCATCTGACCTCACCCATCCCTCACCCAGTGCTGCCGCCGCAACCCCAACTCCCAGAGCCCAGCTGACCTCTTGGTGTGCAGGAAAACACCTGCCCCATGGCCCTTCACTGGTCCTGGCCTGTGGCTCCTCACTCTGGCCCACAAGCTAGCAGCTTGGAGGCATCAAGTGCAGGGAGCCACTGCAATGGTGGCCTGGCTCCCGGGGCCCAGCCCAGCTGGTTTATAGACCCAAAGGGGGCGGGAGGGGACACTGGCACGATGTGCCCTCAACAGACAGGCCCACGGAGCGCATGGTTAGCATTCYTGTCTGAAGGGCTAGGGAGCAAGTCACATTGTCCCGCTGGGCCAAAACAGTGGGTGAGGAAGAGAATAGAGAAGGACCAGGGCAGGGCCCAAGGGATATACTGCCCACCCCTGCAGCATCCCAAGGTGGAGCTTAGTAGGGAAGGTGGCTATGTTCTGTACTAGCCCTGGCTCTGCCTCGTGCTAGCTGTGAGTATGGGCAGTCATTTAACCTTCCGGGCTCAGTGTCCTCTTACGTAAAATGGGCCATCACAGAACCTGCTCACTCTGCACTCTACACATTGGCCATTACTAGCACCATGCTATCCTCTAGCAAGAGCGGCACCATCTCCCATCTGTCCCCTGGATCTCAGAGGGTTCTGTGCCAGCTTGAGTGGCATCCTTTGACTCGCCCCCCTCAGGCTCTTGACTGAGCTGTCCAGCCCCAGGCGGAGGGGCTGAGACCCTGCCTCCTCAGGACAGGGTGCATGCAGGTGAGGTTCTCAGGCAGCCAGGACACAGTGGGGGCGGTCCTTGAAGTGTTGGGGAGGGAAAGGGGAAGGCCTGTCACAGGAGGCCTGAGCCTCCTTCTGGAACCCACCCCTACTGCGAAGGAGGGGGCCTGCCCACCCGGGCTGGGCAGAGTGCCAAGCATGCTGGTCCAGGCCTGCCCCCCAGGCCCTGGTGGGCCCCTGAATACCCCAGCAGCCTGGGCAAGGCAGGGCCTCATTCCAAAAGGGAGAGACCAATCCTGCAGTGAGAAGCAAGAGATGGGGAGGGAGGGGATAGTCACATGGAGGGCTGAGCTGAAGGACTGCACCAAAAAGGTAAATACAGAGCCAAGGAGTAACAGTGCAGAGATGGGGGCCTTCCAGATTTTCTCTAGTCCCTTTGCAAAGACCTTGTCACACAGAACCATTTGGGGCGAGGGAAGGTACAACAGCTTGAGAAGCAGCAAGCGCAGGACTCCCATGCTCACTCTGCCTCTGGCTGGCTGGGGGACCTGGGCCAGCTATGGAGCCTCTCTGAGCCTCAGTGAAGACAATGAGGGCAGCAGGGAAGACACAGTCCTTTGGCCCACCCACCCTTCCACCAGCCTGCCAGCCTGGCCAATCTGGGATGGGCAGCTGGGTGGCTGGATGTGGCCCCTCCAGGGAGGGGCAGGACAATGTGACAGGAGGGACACAGGAACAGGGGCAGGGCCAGGCTGGGTGGCTCCCTTCTTTTCAGAACAATGGCCGGAAAGGTGGTAGGGGAGAGGCTCAAAGTGACTGGGCTAGGGGCTCAGCCGGAGGGTGGAGGGTCCTGGTTCCTGGCAGTGGCTCAGGCACTTCCGCTGCCACACAGCCTTCTTCCCGAGCCTGGCTGGGGGTGGAGGGGATGTGAGCTCAGTCAGTCACACCAGCCCACTCCGTTTCCTCTGGCCACAGAAGGAGATGTCAGAAAAATGAGGCAGGGAGGGACAGGGGCAGGAACAGGGGCAAGGCCATGGCAAACGCACCTTCTCCTGCCAGCCACCTGCAACTTGAAGAGCATCAGGTGGGGGAAAGAATGCAGGCCAGACAGCAGATGTAGGAGGCGGAAGGAGGACGTCTCTTCTGCTCTCTTTTGATAGCCAGAAAGYGCTGGCCATCCCCACAGGAGGGAAAAAGGGAGCCCTGACACTTCCCTTCCTAGAGTGGCAGTTTAGTTAGCCTCTCTGTGGCATGGAACAGGAGTTTCCCCTCTCCCCTTCTCAGAAAGGCATTAGAATCACCTGGAGAACTTTCTGGTTTGCAGAGTCCTGGCCTTTCTGGTGAGTTCAATGGGGGTGGGGTGTCCAGGGAATCTGTACTTTTAGAACAATCCCCGTGAAATGCTGATGAGCACAGAAATCAACTATCAGTGAGGGAGCATGGGGTGGTGGGGCACGGAACTCAGCACAGGTTTGGCACAGGTTTATCTCAGATCCATCTCAGATCCGCCCCACAATGGCTATGTGACCTTGAGTAAGTCACTAACCTTTGAGTGTCACTTTCCTTACCTGTACAACAGATATAAAAACACCAGCTCACAGGGAAGTGAGAGGACCACAATTTTTCATAAACTGGAAGGTCTGCCAAGGTCACCTTATGATCTCACTTCTGTTGCCAGTTTCTCCAGCTTCTCAGAGGACAGGGAAGGGAAGCACGTGGCCAGGACTTCACAAGGAATTCCAGGCCCTTGTTACCTATGTCCACACCTGTACCTGTGTATCTCCTCTTTGGACTGAGTGAAGGGACCTCTTCCCCTACACACGTTTCCCTCTGGGCATAGGGAGCCTAGGAGCCTGGCTTTGAAGTTCCTGCCACCTGTCCCTGGACCTCGCCCACCAACCTCCCATGGGCCTCACTTTGAGGTCCCAGGGATGTGAGGACAGCAGGAGTATGACCAAAGCCCCACTGGGCAGGTCGCCCAAACACAGAGGTAAGGGGAGAGGGGGAATGGCTCCCACTCTCGGGCTGCGCAGGGACCTCCACAGCCCCTTCCTCTATTACATTCACCCTGCACCCACCTCTCCAGGGACAGGAACCATCACCCCTGGCACCATCGCTTCCTGCCCAGGCCTCCACCCTGCTGTGCAGGCGGGTACACACTAGTAAAGTCCCTCTCCTGGCACTCATACTCAGGGGTGCGGGTGAGAATGGTATAAAATCTCCAGGCATAGGGATTCCTTCCTGTGCACAGGACCCAGGAACTCCATATCCAGACCCAGTCTGGTGGCAGGAACCACCAGCTGTCCCTGCTCATCTAGGACCTCCAGGACATAAGTCCAGTGGCCTCCTGGGACAACCCAGAGAGCTCACCCTAAAGGCCAGAGGTCTATTCTCCCTGGGGGTGTCACCACAGAGGGACCCAAGARATGGGGTTCAGGTGTGGCCACCCAGGCCTCAGCCCCCCACAGCCCTGTCAGAACTAGAGCCTCCAGACCATGGAAACCTCTAGAAAATTAGCTGCATACTTTCAGGGGACACAGATGAGTTAGTGGAAAAGAGGTTCTTTAGTAAGTGGTCAGATTGTGTTGAAAAAAGGAAAACCCCCCCAGAAATTTAGACATAAACACAGAGAGGTTCTAGTTGAGTGTACGTAGGATTGACAGTGGGCATGGAGCTCTACCCATTCAATCTTTCCGGACACATACCCAGAAACCCCATGGTGCCAAAGACATCCAAAAGCCACCAGCTAGCAGGCAACACCACGAGGGCTGGAAATTTGGTCTGTTGTGTTCACTAATCTGGCCCAGGGCTTGTAACAGAGCCTGACACACAATAGGCACTCAAAAAAAATTTGAATGAATGTACTTCCATCTTTTCTCCTGGCAAGCAAGGAAACTGGCCCAGAGAAGTTAAGTGACTCACTTAGGAACACACAGCAAAGGGGATCCAATTCCTTTAACTCTCCCAGACAGAGGCACTTCTTGTCCAGAAAAGGACCATTGTCTTTCCTTAAGTTCACAGAACCCAGTGACCACCCCGCTCCCTATCCTCCTTCTGTAGCTTCAGCACTCAAGGGAGGGCCCCAGCTGGTTGGTCACCCCACCAAGTACTCACTTGTCTTTGAGGCCTTAACCTTGGCCACCAGTTTCTGTACACCAGTCACATCTCCGTTCTTGACAGCAAGGATCAGGTCCTGTTCACGACCCATTCTGATCCTCAGGCTGGGCTCTAGGCTCAGGAGTCCAGGGCAAAGACAGGGAAATGTGTCCAAGCCAAGTGTCAGTATGCCATGCCTCAGCCCCTGGAAGGGCTTCTAGTCCTGGGGCACGTTTGGTGTCCCAGGAAGTGGGCTCCTTGTCAGGCGCTGATGGATGCTCCCTTAATGTGCTCTGTGAGCTGCCACCATAAGCAGGAAAGCCAGTCTWGGAGGGGGCGGAGGCTGTGTTGAAATGTGCACAGATATCAGCCTGCAGCTTCTGACAGCCCGGGGATGGGCTGGGACCAGGCACGCCGAGCTTCCCAGCTTGGCTCRGGAGCAGCCAGCATTCCCTCAGGCAGCAGTGGTGGCCAGGTCGTGGGGGTCTGACAACAGTGCAGTACCTCTGCTGAAGGTTGGGCCAGAGCCTGCAAGTGAGAAGCAGGGCACCAGGATGAGCAAGATGACCTCTAGGGAGTCCCCAAACCACCCTGGGAGTCAAGGAGTCCCTCAAAGGGGAGAGGGAACTGCCATCCATGCCTGAGAGGAGTATGTACAGAGGGGAGGTGGTATCCTGTGAGGGGGAGGCTGAGTCATGGGGGCCCCAGGGCACTAAGTAGTACCTCAGCCTTGGGCAGGAGGGGCCCTGGCAGCACCACACACGGGAGCAGGCCAGGCTGGAAGCCCGTTCTCCACAGCCCCAGGCTGTGACACCCACAGACAACTGGGGCCAGGAGGTGGGGCCTAGGAGGGTGGCACAGGCAGACGGGCAGGGGTCACTCCCTGTCCAAGGCRCCTGCCCCCAGACTCCTCCCTACCTAGGCTTCACTTTAATAGCTGGATGCTTTAGCCCGAGGGCTCTTTATGAATTGAGGGGGTGGAATGGGGAGCTTATGGATCCCATTTCTGGGGGCATCTACCTGCTACACAGGGAAGCTCACAGCACCTGTTGCTGACCCTTCCTCACTCTATGTGGGGTGAGCAAAGAAGAGAGACAGAGCTGGGGCACCGATGGCCGACGGCTCCCCAAGCCTGAACCTGAAGCCCAGACCCTCGACTTCACTGCAAAAAGGCTTACGTCAGTTCCTCGGTGGCGGCGAATTTTTGCCAGAGTCTTGTGGCATGAGACCCGAGCAGGCCTGGGGCCCTGGAGGGGTACCACTCACTCCCCAAATGTCTCAAGCCCAACTTAAAGGGCACTCCCCCCACACAGGGCCGGCGGCCGATACTGGGGGAGGGCGCCCCTGGCAGTGCCTGGGGTCGGGCTGGCTCCCCCGCCCCTCGGAATGCCCTTCCAGCGCCGCGCAACCCCCAGCCGAGCCCAGCCCAGGCCGACCCGGGGAACAAAGCGGCGGGAGGGACCCGGAGGGCCGAGCGCTGGAGGGGTAGATGCCGGAGGACGAAAAAGGGGGCGCGAGGAGGACGGAAGGAACGGAGAGATGGAGGCGCCCGCGGATCCCGCAAGAAAAGTTAGTTTGCGCCGGCTCCCAAGGGTGCTGGCCCCCAGCTCAGACCCCGCAGTCTCACCTCTCCCGGGCGCCCCGCCGGGGTCCAGTTGGCTCCGCTCGGTCTCTGCCACTCCGGACGCTGGCTCCTACTGCCCCCCTGCGCCGCAACCCTTTCTCCTCCTCCTTTTCCAAGGCCGGCTCTGCACCTCCCGCAGGAAATCCCGCCCCTCCCCCCCCCTCCCGCCGGATCGGGAGAGGGACCGTCCCGGCCGCTCAGTCGAGCTGTCAGTCAGAGCCCTGGGCCCCGCCCCCATGCGTGCCAAGCCCCGCCCCTACTCGCGCCACTCCAGACCCTGGGCACTGGCCGGATCAACGCATGCGCGCAGGTGAAACGAAGTCGGGGTGGGGTGGAGAAGGCTGGGGGTCGCGGGCGATAGCTAGCGCTGCTACGTCCGGGTTGTGGACTCCGAACGATCTCGGATCTAGTGTCTGGATCGAAGGATGAGATACCCTGGATATGACTCGGTGAGAGACGAGACGTGAAGGGGTTTGGCAAGACCCGAGACCCTACTTGGAGAGCCCCTCTCCTCTATGTCCCACCCCTCCCAGGACTCCCTCTGCGACCTCCGCCCGCGACCAGAGTCAGCGAGCCGCCTGACTCTGCTGGCTGGAGCAATGATGACACCTAGCGGACAGTGACTGGGCGGCCCCGGTGGCGGCGATGGGGACCCCAGCCTCGAGGAGGTGCTATTGGAGGGCTGGGGTGGCGCTTCAGCACCAGCATGGGCCGGACAGCGCCTCCCACCCTGAGGCCCTCGAAACTCAGTTTTGGAGCTCCTCGGAAGGGATCCAATGGCAGACCCTGAAGGGATCTCGAACTTCTCCAGACCGCTCCCGACAGACCCAGGTGGCCTCCAGTTAGCAAAGCTGCAATCCGGGAACCCACTGTTATCCCCTCTCTAAAATCCTTTTCCCTCCTTGCCCAGCCCGGGGGAGGGAGTGGAGGGTCCCACATCTGTTCATACTACAGTCCCTGACGCCAGTTCGAGTTTTACTAGAGAGGGGCCCCGAAGAGGACTTGGGACAGGACTGAAAACTGCGCATCCACTTGCAAGTTAAACAGTCGCCGGAATAGAGGTACACGTGTGTGGGTCGGCGCTAGGGCCCAGCACACCAGGAAGGGGGAAAGCCGGCGTGTCGGCCGGGTACGGGAGGAGCCCGGCTCCGAGCCGCGGGCGCTAGGGCGGCGCGGAGTTCCGGCGGTGGGCGGGGCATGGGCGGCGCGCGCTTCCGCAGACGAGGCCCGATGGAGCCCGAACCCGAGCACGGGGGCGTGGAGGTTCCCGCGGGGCGCGTGCTCAGGTGCCGCACGAGGGTCCGGGGGCGCGGGGTGAGCGGCCGGTAGGGAGAGGGGGCCGGGCCCGGCAGGGTGGCCTCGAGCTCGGCGCCGACCCCTGTCTCTTTGTCCCCCAGTGCCGCGGAGCTCCTGGCTGCCCGCTCGCGGTCCCAGAAGCTGCCCCAGCGGTCGCATGGCCCCAAGGACTTCCTTCCCGACCGCTCGGCGACTCAGGCGGAGCGGCTGCGCCTATGTCGCGAAGAGCTCTGGCAGCTGCTGGCCGAGGAGCGCGTGGAGCGCCTGTGAGGGGGCTGAGCCGGGGTGGGGGGCGGCTGGGCGGCGCGGCCAGACCCCGCCGGGGTGTCTGGGGGACTGAGACGGACCCCTCCCTACTCCTCGCCAGGGGCAGCTTGGTGGCAGCTGAGTGGAGGCCGGAAGAGGGTTTCGTGGAGTTGAAGTCCCCTGCGGTGAGCGGCCGGGCTCAGTGACGGTCACCCGTCGCTGCCCTCCTAGTGATGTAGGACGGAAGAGGCTGGACACCCAAGGAATTTTCAGGAAGCAGATTTATTGGCTGCAGGGTCTAGAGGGGCTGTTGCCGCTAGAAATTCTTGGAACTTTATACCCACGGTGGGGGAGGGACTTGAAGGATTATATTTTTGTAGGAGTCTAAAAATATTATTATTATTTTTTAGTTCACAAAAAAGTGCTTTAGCCCGATTTTTTTAGATTAGTCTCAGTGTTACGGTGTGTGCAAGAATTATAGACCATGACCATGCTTATTGAGCCAAACTGAAAAGGGAAAAAATGTCCTTTAGTGAACAAGCCAGACAAGCGACTGGGAGCAGGCTAACGCCTCAAAGAACTTCCAGCACTTAGATTTTGGAAGCACAGAGTTTATAAAGGCAAAACCCACAAAAACAACAAAGACAGTTGATGTAGTTCGGAAAGACAGATATTTTTGATTACATGAGAGAATTGTTTTGAGTATACATTTCAGCGTTATTTTTGTTATACATCAGGGCCATAGTCAGGGCTGTGGAAAGTTCCTAATGTACTGTAGTCGACATAGATACAGCTGTCAGGAGGTTGTAAAGAAAACATTTTAAGCAAGCATAAAATGGATTCAGGCCAGAACAAAATGGTGTTACCTTGGTTCTTTTAATTTCAAGAGTTTTGCAAGTTTTACTACAAAAGCAGAAGTAACATCAAGTCTGTGGCCAAACTTAGCTTTTTTTTTTTTTTTTGAGAGAGAGAAGTTTAATATTTATTTTTTAGTTTTCTGCGGACACAACATCTTTGTTTGTACCTGGTGCTGAGGATCGAACCTGGGCCGCACGCATGCCAGGCGAGCGCGCTACCGCTTGAGCCACATCCCCAGCCCCCAAACTTAGCTTTTTGAAAGACAGCAATTTAGTCCTCACAAAAAACTCACATTGAGTTTTTTTTTTTTTTAAGAAATTTTTGCTGATATTCTGTTAATAAGAACAGTTACGATGAGGGTCTCTGGAGAAGCTTAATTAAGATTCTTGGTGGAGGCAGGGGTATCACTATACTAGTTCATTTGTGACTCTTGCTCTGGGTCCCTTACAGGGTAAATTCTGGCAGACCATGGGCTTCTCAGAACAGGGCCAGCAGCGGCTTCACCCCGAAGAGGCTTTGTATCTGCTGGAGTGTGTGAGTGCAGTCCCAGGAGAGTCCCCAGAGGAAATAGGACCAAGGAATGGGAAGGACTTGTTTGTATTGGAGTGAAAGCATACACAACATTTCCAGTGAACTTGTAATTGGGCTTGTTAGACAGGGAGGCAGGAATTCTGTGCAGGGAGCAGGGATTCCTGTTCAAATTGGGGTGCCTTCTCACTTTGCTGGTTGTTCATATTCTTGCTGAGATGCTGGGAGGTGGTGGTGGGAATATAGCACCAGGAGCTGCCCCTGGCTGTGGCACTGCAGGAAGGGTGCACAGCTGAACTGTGGTCCCCATTTCCAGGGCTCTATTCAGCTCTTCCACCAAGACCTGCCACTGTCTATCCAGGAGGCCTACCAGCTGTTGCTGTCTGGGGATACTGTGAATTTCCTGCAGTACCAGGTAATTGTCATATCCCCCCTCCCACCACCACTACCTGGAGCCTCCATTCATTAAGTCAGTGAGTTGTGACAAGTACCATTAAAGTGTCAGGAATAGTTAGTGTCACATGCTGGGGTGGCTACAAGACAGACAAGGACTGCGTTGTCACAGGGCTCACATTTTAATGGTGGCAATCAGATAATAAAATAAGCAAATGAATATTATCTTTACAGAGAACAAGATGCTAGATAGAAGATGAAGTAGAGGAGAAGTGGTAGAGTTTGGGATATTTGTTTAGGTAAGAGAAGGTAGGTTGTGGATGAGGTGGGATATCAGTAAATGAAAAGAAATAGATGAATCTCAGAAATTGTGGAGAAAGAATGGATAGGACTTTGCCAATGCATTGGATTTTTGATTTGAGGATAGAGGAGAATCAAGGATTATTCATTGGTCATGAACCAGTGGTTGAGTGGTAATATCATTTGCTGGCTGGGAAGACCCAGGAAGGAACAGATTCCAGAAGATGAGACCACAAAGAGCTTGTTTCAGAAAAGTTAATTTTAAGGTGCTTCTTGGACATCCAAGTGAGGATATCAAACAAACAATTGGATACATAAGCTTGGAGTCTTGGTAGAAGTCAAGGCGAGACATAAAATGTGGATATCATAAGCACATGGGTGGTATGTAAGCCATGGGTCTATATGGGAGTGCATCCAGAGGGCTGGGTCTGAGACTTGGGACTTACCATATTGGGGAGGTTAGGGGGAATATAGGACCAGAAGTTAAGGAGTGTCTGGTGACAAAGGAGAAAAACAAGTGGGATCACTGAAGCCAAGAGAAGGTCCTTAAAGGAGGAAATGGTCAGATCAAGTGATGGGAGACATTTCCTGATATATCCCTCTGATATGGATGAGGGACACAAGGATGAACATGTGGCTTTTTACTAGGGACTGTTTCCACTCAGGACTATGGAGAGGTGGGGATTGAGGAGATAACTACCACCTTCTCCCAACTTTTTGTCCAAACTTAGTATCAAAACATTCTAGGGCATAGTTCTTCTGGTCCATCACTGTTGGCTTTTTGGGATTTGTGTTTATGCTGCCATGAGTGGTGGCACACTCCTGTAATCTCAGTAATTCAGGAGGCTGAGATGGATTACAAGTTCGAGGCTAGCCTCAGCAACTTAGTGAGACCCTGTATTAAAAATAAAGAACTGGGGATGTAGCTCAGTTGTAAAGTGCCCCTGGGTTTAATCCCTAGCACCACAAAAAATAAAAATAAAATTGCTAAATGTCATTTGTGTCCAGAATAAGAGAACAGAAATTCAGAAACAGATCATACTTTGGGGATGGCATTTATAATGCATGTGGTCCCAGTAGTCCTAGGGTTTGGGAATGTACAGGAGAAGCAAGGGGGGAACACCTTGTGGGGTGTGCAGGAGGAGCAAATGGGGAACAGCTTGTGTCTGGGGAACTATTGGTGTTTTTAAGAATGAAAATCTGAACTTTTTTTTTTTTTTTTTTTCCTGTTGAGGTCTTCAGCCACCTGAAGAGACTGGGCTATGTGGTTCGACGATTCCAACCGAGGTAAGTCCCTATCCCTTTCTTATTCATTCTCATCTTGGGACCTGGATGCTTAACCCTAGGTAGAAAGTGGCCTTTTCTTACCTGGAACCTTTGGCTGGAATGCAGCTCCCTGGACATAGACCTTTAGAAAAGTGGGATCTATATTAGAGAAATAGTCATGGCTGTGCATAGAAGTTCCCTTGTGAGAACATTCATTCATTCATTCAGCAATATTATTGACCACTTA